AGAGCTGACATGTCAACCTGAAACCGAGCACTTTGGTCCAATCAATCGACGGGAAAATCAAATATTCAATTAAAATAATAATAATAATCTTCTATGAGTTTTCCATCAGAACTTAAACATAAAGAATATTCTATTCTTAGCTCTTTGACATGGATTATTTCAAAATCGCTAGTTATTACTACGTATGGCGAGTGAAAAAATAATCATTGATTGCCAACTTCACGTCGTGTATGTCGGTGGTTCACTGGCAAGAATGTTCACCAGACCCATGGGAAGTCCAGGTTTCATTTTCGATCGATTCACTCCTAAATCTCATCTAGCTTACTAATTGGTGATAAGTCTGTAGAAGATGGGGTGGGTGGGTTGTGCATGAGGCTAATAACTCCATTGCTAATGAAACTTCACACCTTGAAGTCTTATGTCTAGCCTCAGAGCGCAAGAAATTAAAAGAAAGACAACTTCATATGTTGCTAGTTCCAGAGGATTAGAATCTTTACACATTTTTGTATCGTGAGCATACTATTATATATTTTAAGACATGTTTAGTATTCACTTTGCATTTTTTATTTCTCACTTTAGTGTTATTATCCTTGAAATATACATATATTCTGTACAAAATATAGTTAAACAAGCAAAGTACTTCTGTCCAATTGGTTGGAGGATTTCATCATGAACTGACATCAGTTACAGAACCATTGTAAAACCTGCAGGGTGTACTGGACACCTGTTTCGTCCTGGTTTCAGACTCTTCATCAGTACGCACCCTCACTGTGGTGTTCGAATCCAGGATTTTCTGGTTACATGGCGGGCTCGTAGATCGGGTCCCAGTGGCTTAATGGTCCACGAGCTAGCTCTCCCTGTAACCATTAGGTCCTGGGTTTGAACCCTGTGATAAGGGTTCGTACTGTGAAGAGTTCCAGACTAGGAAGAAAAACAGCTATCCAGTACTCTCAGCTGGTTTTCCAATGGTTCTCTAACTGATGTAAACTCATGATGAAGTCCTTTAACCAATCAAATAAGACCCCTACAAAACCAATACATGTAAATCATATGCAATTATTATTAAACTTCAATGAATTAGTTAATTAGTTGATTTGTTTATTAACTAGATAATGACATTAAATTTAAATATAAAGTGTGAATCAAGATTGGACAATGCATGTAAATCAAAATTATCGGAAATGCGAACTATACCTTCGTGTTTATTCATGTAGTTAATGCATAAACTGAACCATTTTTCCTCTTATTGATTTGTTTGATATAAATAAACCATAACTTTTAAATGATTTATTACGTAATTTATGCATACATTTCATATTTTTTTAAATGATACATTTGGGTACATGTTATGAAATTTCCTATCAGCTGTTAATTTGTTACTAAGTGGATGAACAACTTCCATGTAGTAGTATTCAGTAGAAGTGAAATTTTTATGATTTTACAACACTGAGTGAATTATTGAACTAGTAATATTGTGGTAATACAACTCATTGACCTAGTTACTTATTTACTTGCCGGCAAACCAGAGTATAATGATCTAGGGAAAAGAGAACTCACCAATGAACTTGAAACACTCAAACTGTGTAAGTTAATAAAAGTAGGTAAATAGCATGAAAATAAATGTGTTAAATGATGGGTATGATATCCAGTTCGTCTCAGGTTAAGTTAGCGAATGATGAATATGGTTAGAGTTGTTTTAAGGACTCGAATTTGCTTTTAAGTAGAATTGCTCTTCTCAAGGCCATTAATGCGTCCGTCCGTCCATCCGTCCCCACTGGATCTCTATTCTTTAACATACTTCACTTGACTTTCAACCAAATAGAGGTCTTAAATTTGAGTCTTGTTTTGCCTACTTCAACCTGAGCAGTTCGCTCCGTCCTTCTCTATGGTTCTGAAACATACGAGTTGAAGACATGAAAAGGTTGACTTTTTTGATCATAAATGTCCACGATCTCTTTCTTACGTTAGGTGGTATAATAAGGTAAGTAATGTTGACGTTAGGCGTAGAGTGTTGGGGAAACAGGGAAAATCAATCGACGAGGTTATAAAGTTACATAGACTAAGATGGCTAGGTCACGTGCTGCGCATGCCTAACCATCGCCTTCCCCGACGGGCATTACTAGCTGATATAGGTGCAGGTTGGAAAAGAGCCAGTGGTGGCCAAACAAAAACATGGCCTCATCAATCCATGAAATCCTTGACAGTTAAACTGAGTCAGGTATGGAGATGCAGACTTCCGGGTTGGGGCCCTCGGGACTCTAGGAATCAATGACTGGAGACAATAGGTGACATGGGTCAAAATCGTTGTCAATGGCGCAGATGTGTTCAGTCTCTGTAATCTTTCATATTTCTTTCTACCATTACCCATTCTGTTTCACTCTTATACTTCTCAGACTGTATTGATTCTCTCCACTCATCTTCTTGTCTACTTTTGTGTGCTATTTGGAACGTGGCAACTCGAACTGCTGCACTTGGGTGCCAAGTTCTATGTTGAATCCAGACAGACAGACAGACCTGAGCAACTGGATACTGATATGACAGTTTATGTCATACAATAAATGTGATTCATAACCCCCGTGTCTAACTAAAATGAAAATTGAATGTTAGTCAACAACCATTTGCTGCTTATCCATTCAGTTGGGTCAATGAGATATATCTACCTATGTGCGAGGGTTAGTGATATTCTATCTGGTTGTTGTTGTGAAGCGCGGAGGTTGACTCTCATCATTCACTGGTTTAAAGTTAAGTGTGTATGTAAGCCAATGAGCAACTGACTGAGTAATCAATGTTTTACTGTTTTAAGTGAATATTTATTTCATAATTCAATGACTGTAACTGTTAACAAAAATTTGCGCATATTTCAATTTTATTTTGTTGTTTTTACTTTGCCATTTCAATCACACCATATTATGAAAAATACTCATTAATGAATAATTGAGTATTTTAGTCTATGCAAAAGTATGCAGGTATGTCTTTAGGCCTGCACATAGAAATGATTTATTTGAAAGAAATATTTGAAAAAAAGATTAAATTTATTATATGTGTAGAATTATATACTACTGATTAATCGAGATGAGTGGTTGCATACCATTCACATCGATCGGTAGGATTTGCCAGTCAGATCGTAGCGATCTGAACATCGAACTGCCATTTCGTTTGTCTTGGACCGGATTTATTAACCGGGTATCCGATTTCAATCAAGTCAGAGATCCAAATCACTTCAAACCACCCAATTTATGGCTAGGTATTTGGGTAAACCAGTAACACAATACGTCAAACCGGCAATTCTCAGATACGCTTTGCTGATGAGTGCCAACCAACACGAAATCTAGGTCCAAGGCTTCCTGCCGATTGCCTCCAACAATGTTATATCATCAAATCAACGTGCATCGTGATGGCAAGCTCCCTAGAATGGTGACCACATTGATGAAAACCTGACTGATAGAATTCAGTCTGCGCTAAACAGAGGACGGACTATACACATCACACTTGTTAGTTACTAGTGTCCAGTCAAAGTATCCACTACAGTCATACAGGAGGTCAATCGCGAGCCTGAATAGCTCAATGATTACGTCTCTGACTGCAGCATTGGGTGACGTGAATTCGAATCTCAGAAGGGAAATGCGTTCCTTCACGGTTGCAGATACGTCTTGTTGACTGGTGAGTGCCAACTAGCACGAAACTTAGGTCCAATGATTCCTGCTGATCACCGTCAACAATCTAATATCATCAAATTCGCATAATAATATGTAATTTCCACAGTTTATTTTGGAAACCGAAATTATTCAGATCAAAGTGCTTGTCATCTCCTTGATATGATAAATGGCAATCTAGAAAGCAAACATAAATGCTTCAACCTAGATACTACTGATTAAGTGAAATAAGTAATTAAGAACACAATATTCAGTGGAGGGACTCTTTTCAGAGAATTTATTATCAAGCTGTACAATCGTATATATATGGTTTTTTAAGAAATTATATCCGGTGAGGGAATTAGATTAAAGGTGTGAATACATCAAAAATAATAATAGTAGTATGAAATGCAATTAAAGTATCTATGATTATGATCATAGTTAAATGTCAAGTAGCAAAACAATGAATGTCATAGGATTATAGGATTAGTAAGCGAATATAAAATGTTACATTACATGGTGTGAAATTTGATAAGATAGAATTCAACATTGTAAAAATAAAAAATATAAAAATTACTTATTTTGGGTTTAAAATGACAAGTGGGTCAAGTGGAAAAGATTCCAAATGAGAATAGTAATAATAATAATAATAATAGTCGTAGTAATAAGGGAAAAGTACATAGAATAACTAAATAAAAAAAATAAATAAATGTCTATCCCTCTACGGTCAAGGCAGAAGTAGGGATTGTACATACTTCTTTTGTACACAAAGGTCTGGCTTAAAGTCATGAATTGGCAAGGCCTCAGCTGTCTTGAGAAGTCTGTAACGAAGAAAACGCGGCTAGCAAGTTAGCATGAATTCTATATATGATCTTGAAATCATGGTCAGGGTTGACCGAGTGACAGAAGTCGATCAGGTGTTCCAGAATAGAGCTTCTTACACACTTCCTTTCTCCCTTGTAAAACCATGCTGGAATATGTTCTGCTATCCGTGTGGTAAGCGTCCTCTGACTACGGCCAATGTACCTTGCTCCACAAGAGCAGGTGAACTGATAGATGCACATAGAGGCGGTCAGACGGGGGAGCTTATCTTTTGCAGAGGTATTGCATTCCATACTACTACTATTATTATTATTATTTTTGATGTATTCACACCTTTGATCTAATTCCCTCACCGGATATAATTTCTTAAAAACCATATATATGTACGATTGTACAGCTTGATAATAAATTCGTTGCCGAAAAGAGTCTCTTCGCTAAATATCGTGTTCTTAATGCTACAATGGGAATTATTAAATTATTGAAAAAATAAGTAATTGCATTGTCTAGTTATTTATCCATTTTTATCTTACTTTAATTTCTTTTTAGGTTCTATTTTCTCAGATTGTTATGAATTAGTTGAAAATAATAACAGTGTCACATCTACAAATATTAATATTAATAATACTGATAAACATGAATCAGATATTCAGCATTGTACAAATTCATTATCACAGATTCAGTCTAGCATTAAATCATCTTCATCATCCACAGCATTATCAGGAGTATCGACAACTGGTAAAACACTGCCATCAGAGATAATGACAACTACACCGACAACAATAGCAACAACAACACCAGCGCCAACCCATGTACCAGTCCCAACGACTATAACAAATCAAGCAGCTATAATGGCAGCTGCTTTAGCTAAAGCATCTGCTGAGAAAACAATGAATGGACCATTCTCATTAACTGAACGTATTATTAATAGTAATGCTATCAATACTAATAGTAATAATACATCGGTTAATATAACAATGACAACTAATAATAATAATAAATCACGTAAAGGTTCATTAACAATGCCACATAATCATCATCAAATACAACATTCATCATTAGATAATAATTATACAGGGAATAATTCAAGTAAATTAATTGAACGAAGAAATTCGTCTAATTCTGGTGAGTTTATAGTTGTTTTTGTGTTTTCTTTTCATGTTCATCGTCTGATTCTTCCTTTCTCTCTCTCTCTTTTCTATCATAGAATGATGGATTTTAGCTTGCTGTTTGATTGACTGATTGATTGATAACAAAAAGACATTAAGATAATCATCTATGCTTATTTTAAGTCTTGTTATATACTTGATATAATTTTCAATAAGCATAAAATGTAAGCTGTAGACTTTATCATGCTTATTTTTCTTCTCTCAACCATTTAATACTGACTGAATGTGACGCATAGAATTCTACTACAGTGTTCGGGTGTGTGTGTGCTAGTAAATGGTGAAGTGGATTTGACGGATGATGTTGTAATGTTTCTGTACTCATTCTTCAGTGTTCATGACTGTTTGCACTGTAAGAAGAAGAAGAAGCGATTTTTGTAGACTTACATCGAAATTGGTGTGCATCATTTCTTTGTTGTATGCGCAATAGTTTCACTTCAGCTGGTAGTGAGTGTTGAAAAGGATTGACTTCAACATAGAAATTGGCGCTGAAGTTCAGCAGTTCAAGTTACCACAATTCTTCATGCAGCAGACAAAGGTTGACAAAAAAGAGAGAAAAAAGAAATGTGAGTGAGAAAGATTAGTGACATGACAGTTCAGTGAATATGGAGGATCACAGAGATTGAATGCATCCTCACCATCGAGAACGATTTTTTTATCCGTATCTCCAAGCGCCTTCATCCACTGGTTCTTATCATCTCAAGGACTCTAACCAGTCAGTTTACCACTCCCCACGTGACTAGTTCAAACCAATAGACAAAGACTTCATAGACTGATGTCAGGTTTTGATTTGACCAACTCCTGACTCTTTCCAACCTAATCCTATATCAGTTAATATTGTTTGAAGAGAAAGACCATGATACCGGATTCGTAACAAGTATCCTAGCCATCTCAGTTGATATGGCATCACAACCACATCGATTGATTTTCTCTCCTTACCAAATACTTTAAGTCTAACCTACATATTACCATAAAATAACACTTAACGTCGGAGACAGAAGGCAAGCACCTATGATCAAAGAAAGCTAGCCTTTTAATGTCCTTCACTCTCAATGTTCATGTCTCACGAAGAAGTAAACTGCTGCTGAGTACATACTCTCTCTGACGGATATTTGGATATCACGTTTGCACCAGAGATGACGTAACTTGTCAAATGCTATACGAGCATTTCGTATCCGTGTTGAGATTTCATCAGGAACCAGTCCATTAGGGTTCATGCAACTTCACAAATGAGTGAAGTGGTCTACATGCTTATGCAATTCACTTCCTACCTTTAAGCTAGGAGTCGATGCAGTTCAGTCGTGTAGCATCGCTTTACATTTGACAGGAGCAGATCTCATTCTAAAGATTCGGTGTTCATAAGTCCGCGATTTTTCAGTGTCTTCTCCTAGGAAGACGATACTGTCCTTAAACTCTAAGTGAACAAGACTATTTCCTGATAACAAGTCAGTTTCTAAGTCGCAAAAGTCAGATATAGTGGATTCTGTGAGTACAAGTATTAAGAACGTTAGAATGGAAAGCTTCTCGTACTTATGGAAGTGTGTGAGTGTTTACTACCTCCTAGCTGCTCATTCTGTGTAAGTTGATTTCTTCTCGCAGTATCTGAGACAAAACTGTTAGTTTTGTGTGACCTTAGAGTCCAGGGAAAAACTGCCTGGTGTTGGTCATACACCTGAACTACTTCATTTCTGTACAAAGTTCTGTGTTAAAACTCAGTCAGTTATATCACAAACTGTACATTAGAAGTGGCTTTATGAGTTATGTTTTATGCATTTCATCTGGTAGAACTAGAAGCAGCTATAAGAGGCTATATGCTAGGACTACTAAGTACAAAATCTCCACAATACCATATCTGGCACAGCTGTTATGTGATGAGAAATCCTTTAGGTATGACATTACTTGCTTACTGCGGCACTCTAACAAATAGTCCCATTAGTTTTTGTTTTCCTTTCTTCGTTACTATTACACTGTTGTTCACATCTTCTATTACACACTAATTATATATTTCATATCCTGTGGTGCATTGTTTAAAATGTAAATGCAACGCTGTTCTTTTTTATATACATATCTTTTTTTGGGGGTGTTGCTTTTTGATTTTAAAAATCTTGTAAAATTTGAGGTAATTAGATGCAATATTGTAATGCACGCTGAAAATGCCATACCTGTACCACAAATACTGTTTGGAATAAAGCTGTTATTATTATTATGTTCGCACCAAGATCTTATACCAGCTACAGACTGAGGCAAGGTAAACCGGGATGTGCAATTTCTAATCCCCCCTCACCAGAGCAGAGGCAGAACACAAACTGGCTTGCTGATCTGATCTGAAGGAAACACCTTACTGCTGTTAAATCCCTATTCCCTAGCCGTATGACTTCCTTCCACAGAACTCGAACGTAGTGTAGACGCAATATACTATGATAGTAACTGCTTTCAGTCTAATCGATATCCAAATAACCTTCTTGGTATGATAGGAACTATGCGAACATCAGTTCCAGCCAATGTAGCTTATATAGTCATTGAGATATGCAAGCACAGCTACCACGTCGACATTGCAACTATCGGTTGGGACTGCAGTTGTTACCTTTGATCTAGTTTGTTTTTATGTAAAATAAAGGAATTTTGACTGACCCATTCACCTCTTAGGGTTGGCTAAATTGATCCCAAGTGTAAATTATACGTACAAAAATGTCTTGTAAATACTTCATCTTATTTGTGTGTTGATTTGTAAAAATGATTAATTCACCGGTTCTTAACGTCTTCCCTTCATTTCCGTCACCGTATGCTGTGTCATCGTCAATATCTACGTTTCAGTTTTCCACCAGGCAGTAAAGTAGATGGAGTGGTTTTCGAAAAGGGTAATCCATGTGTCCTTCCAAAAAAGTTTAATAGTCCGAAGTTCACTTATTGTTTTAAAGATCTGAACTTCGTTTTACACATATAAATTACGGGCACGTGTCAGTGCTGCTACATTATTATGCATATAACAAGACTTTATTGTTACAACTGAATGATAAACACTCCTACCATTTAAAAGTTTATTGATAAATACGTTGGTGGTGTGATTTGAATTATTATTATTAATAATTACTCGTTCCTTGAGATTTAAGTAAAATGTAGGACATCAGCAACACACCTCCATTATACTCTCTTCTCTGAAGTTATTTCCAGTTGAATCCACGACTGTTCACAAGCTTTTATGTCATTTTCCTTGTTATCCTCGTATACCCAACAAAAGGCTTCTTATTTTGGTCCAGTTCGAAGGTCTGATGTGTGGCGTCAGTGAGCGGTCGCCTCAATGTCTGTTCGATTCATCCCCCTTTCTTTGCCATATTTGTTGGACAATAGCTTGTTGGTTGGTTTGCTGACAGAGAGAGTTCTTCGTTGTTTATCCTTCCCAGACAGTTAATCTTCATCAGAGACAGCTGTTGATGAAAGCCTGTAGCAGACTGTTGGAAATGCTTTCGTTGATGCGCTCGTCAACTAACTCTCTGAACTGACTTGACACTACTTTTAAAAATTCAGTGTCGTTATTATTTGGTGATATAGTAGTGAGATCCGTTTTCACATTCGCTATTAGTAAATTTTAAACATTTCTTATATCTCTTTCTGAATAACACTTGTTATTATTTATTATTTTCCTAGAAAAACATTTTATTGATCCAACTGGCCCAAATGATGAAAGAAGTCCAAATCGTCTTCATTCTTCCGAAGAATTTGATAGTTTACTCGACTCGAATTCATCTGTATTAGATTTCACCTTTTCAGATGTACAATATTGGTGTAGTGTATTCTATTATGAGTTGAATACACGAGTTGGTGATGCATTTCATGCTGGTCGACCTACCTTAACAATAGATGGTTTCACTGAACCATGTTATCGTTCTGATCGATTCAGTTTAGGCAGTTTAAGTCATGTTAATCGACCATTACAAGTTGAAATGACAAGAAGACATATTGGTTAGTGTTCTTTTATTTTTGTTTTGTTTTATAGTCAACTACTCTAGTCATTCTTTTTGTAATAAATTCATATATGCGCATACTTATATCGCTATATATGTGGATTAATTTTCACAGGAAGTATTGACTACACTATCTATTGCATCACTATATTAGTATTCAAGTGGTGGTTTTTAGGGATTTGGTTGACTGGTTACAGGATTTCATCGTGAGCTGACATTGGTTAGAGAACCATCGGAAAACCTGGGAGTACTGGACAGCTGTTTCGTCCTAGTTTGGGACTCTTCAACAGTACGCACTCACCAGGGTTCGAACCCCGGACCTTCTGGTTACACAGCGAGCTCGTATACCACTAAGCCACTGGGACCTGATCCAATGGCAAGCCCATGAATTCTAACTTCTGCCAATTCACGACATAGCGCGACCCCCAGCCAATGTCTTCGGCGAGTATTTGCATTATTATTTTTATTATTATTAGTATTATGATTATTCTCTTGCGTTTCAAGTAGAAAATAAGACTTCATAAGTGCATCTTCATTTAACTCTACTCTCTACATTCGTTTTGTAGCTGGCTTCACGATAACCCATGAGTCACCTTCATTTCTTCCTCACACCATCTTCTCCATGTCACCCTCGAACTCAAGCCCAACTCGTAGACGTTTACTAGCCGGTGCTAGACTCGCAGAAAAGGGGAGGGTTGAACATGTGACTAGTATCCCTAACCTAGAAATCGACCCGATCACTACATGAGCTTCAAAGCACAGGAAAACGCAAACCTATCGCATTAAAGATTCTATTATCTTATCCTTTTTTGATCAGATCATGTCATGTTAAGTAGATTTAATTTGACGTTGTATATCAAAGTATGACTATGACTATGCGTTATAAATTTATTTTCGAAATGTTATCAATGAAGAATACTGTGGACTATCATAAATACCATTCCATTATAGAATTATATTCTACCATAATACTGAAGTTCAATATACATGGTTCTGTGTCGAAGTTAAATGAGGAATTCATCGTCTGGCAATACTCTCAGCTGTAATATAGATGGTCTACTATGCTACACTGTCGAATAAATGTTTTCTAGCTGTGAGAATTTTTGTGGTGCTTTTAGTTTTAACACAGTTTGTGTACATTATATAAGGCACCTCCGAAATTCGCCGTACATTTATACACTAAACTACAACTCAAATCAGTTGTAAGAGGGTCAGTGATAATACTTGTCTATGCTATTTATGCTTTTGACTCAACCATCATAGTAAGTTGTCTATAAGTGGGCAGATGAATTACAACTTTATTCTGGTTTCTTAAAACATCTGACTTGTAGTGGCTTCTGAAAGACGATATATATATATATATGGGTGTTGGGAGTTGCTGTGACTCCTTCATATATATTTACTTGTACAAGCATATCATTATACTGTGGTGTATAGAAAGCTGACTGTATAGTTGGATGTATGAAGATCCCATTAGAAAGATTTCCTAAAGATAAGTAAGAGCAGTGATGCGGACAAACGATAGCTTTTATGCAAATCGATCATTTCCACTGTAGAATGCAAAACTACTTCCTAATGTAAAAGTTATTATCGACTTGTATATTAAGCAGACTGAAGTAGTCGGCATTACATATATTACGTATATCCGTGGAGTCGTCTTATGCTGACAAGCGGAAAGTGGTAATTGTCATTTATACATTTTCTAATAAAAATCACTTGTTTTGTGATTAGGCCCAAGTGTGTTATGAATAAGGGAAGATATTATCTCATATGGACAAACATAACTCATATGTTTTTATAAGCCTGTTAATGGAGATCGTCGGTAGAAGATTGCCGCTTGTAGTAATAACAATAGTAATAATCATTAAGAAAATGGTTCTAGTGTGCCTCGAAAGTAATAGAAGCAAAGAGACAAAATATTATTTTCAAAGAAGTTCCCTCAATTATGCGAATCACATGTAGGCAAAGAGAATGGAGAGTAAAATGACCTTCTTCAAGAAGAGTGTATGAATACATACAGGGACTGTTATGTGAGAAAAGTACATCTGCACTGAGCTGTATACATCCATAATTTCATTCTCGTGTTTATTTACAATTCACTTAGAAATATCACCTCTTACTAATGTCTGTTTATCTCATTTTACCTGTATAAAACACACCAAACTCTGCCCGTTTTCCCCTTTGATAATCCTGTTTAACCTTTGTGTTTACTTAATTTCATTCGCATTAAATTTATAACCATTTGACAAAATATTAAACACTTGGGCCATTGAATCGGGTCTCAGTGGCTAAATGGTATACGCGCTTGCCTTGTAACTGCATAGTCCTTGGTTCGAACCCCAGTTGATGCGTAATACCGATGATCCTCAGACTAGGGTGAAACAGTACCCCCTGGCTCTCAATGTTTCTCTAACTGATATCAATCCGTGGTCAAACTCGAAGAACAAATCTAATCCTTACAAATCAACTCTTGAAGGCAAAATCCATAATCTAAATATCAATTCCCAGCTCATATATTTTATTATTTTTTTTATTTTGATTACAGCTTGATTCCACACCGTATTTTGGTACAAGTATGGAATTTTCAGCGTGGATATCGGTAGCCCAAATTTCGCAGGCCTACTATAGATATCAGCTGTGCGTCGGCGTGGGCTCGAACCCCGGACCATGTGCATGGTCGGCGAGAGTCCTAACCACTGTGCCACCGACGCAGTGGTGGATGTTCTAGAGCTGTACTGAGAAATCGTGACCAGTAGAGTTCACCACGTCAAAGTGGAGTGTGGATACTAATCAAAGGCCATTGGTTAAGGGGGTAACAATATATCACGAATTGACAAGTTGGAATCCCTCAGGTCATTGGATTCTATTGTGAGTGGCTGAATAGTCAGTGAGCTTGGTCTCGTAACCTGGAGGTCCCAGATTCAATCCCTGGTGAGGTCCTAGATGTGTACTGACGAAGAGTCTCAAATTGGGACGAAGCAACTGTCTAGTACTCCTTGGTTTTCAATGAACTTTAAATGACGTTGATTTGTAGCGAGATCTACATTGAAATTCATCAAAATCCTTATAAAAATCAATAATCTAAGTTCACTTTATTAAGACTTAATCATAATCATTTATTCTCATTAATACCTCAGCACCACTCATGCATAGTACAGTCGTATTCATTTTTGAAAATACCTCCTTATGACAGTTTATTTTGCCAAAACATCAAACATACCACCACATACATATATGTAATTGAAAAATTCCTGTAAGGCATTCAAAATAAGATAGAATTTAGAGAATAATTGTTTTCAATAACCTCTTCTTCAGACCCAGCAGTCATAAATCAATAAATATTATCATCACACAATATAGCCAGTAAAAACAATATTATATATATATATATATATATATATATATATATATATATATATATATATATATAAAAGAATGGAATATAATCGAATGGGATTGGAAAAATGGTAGGCAATTAATGGGTGAGTATATAAGCTATAGTCAAAACAAATTTGCCTCTCTTCCGTGTGTTCGCCCACCTTGGTATTATTATGATAATAGAGAAGTAGAGATGGTCAACTTGGATTAAAATTTCCTCAGGTAGTTTAGTGTTATGTAACTGTGTATTATGTGCTACTTAAAGGAATGCTGTAATGCTGCTGTATCCGATGTCGTGTCTGGCTATTTTACAGGTGTTTTTATCAACTTTATTTTTACACAGGTGGTGTATGCTATATACTGTACGCGAAAACACCTTACCACTACTCTTATCCTCACTTCAATTCATTTTAATAAGTAATGTGATACGCCATTTTGGATGAGCGCCATTAGAATGGAAGTAAAAACGAGGTATTTTTGATGGCATAGGCGGCATGTACTATCATGAAACTTATTTTTTATTTTATTGATTTTCGTTCCCAATGGAACATATGACTTTAAGCTAGAGCTTAGAAGTTCCAGTAGCAGTAGTGTTCTTCTTTACGGGATGGGGTTGCTTGCTTCATGCTTAACCCCCTTCCCCCTCTTAACTGGTCTTATTACTGGAGTAGCGAGATAAAGGTGGAGTGCCCCGGCTAGGAATCTAACCCCGGGCCACTTGCATGGTTGGTCAGTGTTCTGTCACTTGGAAAGTACGGTATCAAACTAGAGCTGTGAAGTTCCAGGAACAGATAGGACCATTTAACAATATTTACTGCCACAGACTAGAAAGACTTTTTCATTGAAACTGGTGAATGTAAGGGTATTTTTTTAAAACATGATTTGTCTTAATAATAACTTAAATGCACTTAAGTGAATATGCTCGTGAAATTTATAATTCCAGGTTGCAAGGGGTGATTGATAATCAGTTGAATGAGAGATAAGGCAACTACAACAAACAAATAGGGTTATCTTAACGTGCATGTGAAGGAACATACGTAGCAATAATAATGGTGTAATGTAAACTACATGGAAAAGGAGTAAGATGGACAGAGCAAAAGTTGTTATGGTGTAAATGGACTTCAAGCTGTAACTGAAGAGCATTCGAATATAAACGTCGTTTTTTATTGCTCGAGATAATGACTCACTGTGATAAAACAAAATGTCTCTGTGTAGTTAGTTGATTATCACAAATTCACAAATGTAGAAGCTGGAAAAGGAAGTTATCTTCATGCCATTTTGTTGCTGGTTGCTTGCAGTGAAATCCAATACGTGTGTTTCATTCTGTTTACGACTCATCAGTTGGATATGCCAGCATTCACAGTGATTGGTGAGTTTCACAACTGAGACTTGAACTTCAAAGGGAAATCTATTGCACTACAAGGGTCATCTTTTGTTCAGCAGGTTATTTGAATTATTTTGAATTTCCCGTTGATTAGATTTTTTTTAGATTTTTAGATTTACAGCTTGATTTCACACTGTATTTTTGGTACAAGTATGGAATTTTCAGCATGGATATCGGTAGCCCAAATTTCACAGGCCGACCATAGATATCAAGTGTGCGCCGGCGTGGGCTCGAACCCCGGACCATGTGGATGGTCGGCGAGAGTCCTAACCACTGTGCCACCGACGCACATTATATTGACTGGACTGAGGAGGAAACATGCATCTTAGATTCTGCTGCTAATAAGCACTAACCAAGTAATATCATATTAATTCTAAGGAAGTATCAAAGCGTCTTAACTAGTAGCCAACATGTGAACAGTGACCGAGCATTTCGGTCCAGTATAGTAATCAATCAGCAGGAAATTTGTAATATTCAAGAATTAGTTTGTATTGATTTAATTTGTTTCAAGTTTAGTCAGTGATTGATGTCAGTTAGAGGACCACTGAAATCCACAGAGCACTAGACAGGTGTTTAATTTTTATTTGGGAACCTTAAGCAGTACGCGCCTCCCAGCAGTTCGAATCCAGAAACTTCAGTTTACAAGGCAAACTCATTGACCATTCAACCATTTCTACTGGAATCCAACGGCCCAATCGGTTCTCACTTTTTTCAATTCGCGATTTTAGCGTAACCACTAGTGCTCCCTGGTTTTTAACGCTTCTCTAACTGATATCAATCTGTGATCACACTTGAAAAAATCAAATCCCTACAAATTAATTCGATACTCTCCAGTGACTGGCCTCAGGAAGAAGTTTTCTGCAGTTCTAGTGAGAGGTCGTAACCGGTGGGGGTCACTCGGTCGGGGTTGAAGACAAATACTTGCTGACGACATTAGCTGGTGGAAATAACGCTGAAATCACGAATTGGTTTAAGTTAGAAATCATAGGTTGGCCATTGAGTCGGCGGGTCCCATTTGCTGAACGATCTACTAGCTTGACCTGTAACCGGGAAGAAGCTGGGTGAGTACTGAAGATGAGTCCTGATCTAGAATGAAACAGCTGTCCGGTACACCTTGGTGATCACTGGTCCAATAAATGACATCGATTTGGGATTGAAGATTATTCTTTGTTTACTAATTTGTATTTTTTATTACTATATAAGGTTTTTTAAACAGCTGATAGTTTTCTGTTCAAGGTTGTGTTATTTCGTTTCTGTCTGTCAGGCGTGAAGTACTTTATATATATATATATATATATATATATGAAATGTTCAGTGACTTTGACTATTATGTTTAGTCAGGTGTGTATTAATATTAGTGACATCATGTGTGCATGTATATTACTGTAGATTTCGATTTTAAGATATGCATATCAATCAATGTATTTATTGTATCAGTTCATGCATGATGTTGCAACACCTATAGTAATAAGTATATCGGCCAATGGTTATCCTTAAAAATATCCAATAAAATCTTTATTTTTTTTTTTCAATAATTCATTCAAAATCTCTTTTGATTACTACCACTCAAAAGACCTTTATCGATGAATTCTTATCAATGTTATTTGCTTAATAGTGACAAATAGTGGAGTCCAGAAAGTCCGTTCCGTCCGATATGTCAGCAATGACAAAGCATTTCGGGTCAATATAATCGATCAACGGGAAATCCATCAAATAACACCCATTGCTAAAGAGATAACTCCGATATCCCAGTGTTCTGGTGCAGAACGTTTTGTCGTTTAGAACGATAGGTGGTACTCCATTCTAGTCTCAGCTGGGACACCATCATTCACTACGGATGTAGGTATATCTAGCTGATACTAGCGTCTTAGATACTCCATCGTTGGTCACTATCAACCCAATAAAGTCATACTAACCTTAGGATATCATCGAGGCATACGTACTAGGGGCCAGCTTGTCAACAGACACCGAGTATTTCGGTTCTTATCTAATTGATCAACTGGTAAATCGAAGTCATCACTCCGACGTGTTTTTATGATGTTTTGTTTTCATTTCACTCTTGTTGCTTATTTTTATTATCGATCTCATCGTATACGTCCCTGTATTGTTTTTGTCTGTTATTGATTTTCGTTTTTCTTTTTCATTCTTCTGTTTTTCTTATCCTTTTAGGTCGTGGATTAAAATTGCATCATATTGGTAGTGAAGTATACCTTGAATGTTTAAGTGATGCTGCAGTATTTGTTCAATCACCAAGTTGTAATCACTTTCATAATTGGCATCTAGCAACTGTTGTTAAAGTTCCACCAAGTAAGTCCATTTGAGTGGTTGTGTTTTTGCTTGTCTTTTGTTTTTTTGTATAAAAAGATTGCTGTCATAGTCGTCCTTCCTTTTTTGAAGGCTCAGAGTTTTTTTTTGCTATTTTTTTCTGACTTATTTTCCTTTTTGTTATTCTTTATCCTGGTCTAGTGGTGGCTCAATAGTAGAATGCGTTGGTGGCACAGAGGTTGGGAAGCTCACCGACCCCGCACATGGTCCGGGGTTCGATCTCTGGCCGACGCACATCTGATATCAATGGTCGGCCCGCTAAATTTGGGCTACCGATATCACATGCTGAAAATTCCATAGTTGTGCCAAAATACTGTGCGGAATCAATCTATAATAAAAAATCACCCGCATAGTCTGAGTTCGATTCTCGGCTGACGTACTCCTAAACCCTGTTTAATTAGGAGTAAGTCAGGTAAAGGGGGAAGGTTGGGCGTAACGTCGCCTACTCCACCCTGTAAAAGCAATACCATCGCTATTGAAACTTCAGAGATCAAAATTGAAGCCCTGTGTTTCACTTGGAACATTGAAGGAAGGAGAAAATTGGTGTAGCTAAATAGTTGTATAGAAAGTTGAATTTTGGTTAGTATACTACAGACGTAAAACTCTTACCATCTATATATATTCGTGATGCAAGGTACTGATAAGGATGCTTGTTCAGTAATGGTATTGCAACTCATTACCTAGTGTATTTGTTGTCCTGTATGAACTTTTTGAAGAAAATGTATATTTTAGTCAGTTCTGTATACTATTTTGTGTATCGTGTTGATGAGATTTCGAAAGACCTAAAACGGCTAGCAGTTTTCGATCACAGATGTTTGTGATCTGTCCCCCTTATTAAATTGTATGATATGGTGAGTAATATTGAGGTTGGGATTTGAGTTTTAGGTAAGGAGGTCAAGTCAATCGATCAGGTTGTTGAGATATATATAGAGGTTAAGATGCCTAGGACACGTGTTATGCACGCCTAGACATCAAGTTCCTAGCTGAGCAATGTTACCTGACATAGGATTAGGTTAGAAAAAGGTTTGTCAGTAGTCAAAGTCAAACCTGGCATTGGTCTATGGCGTTTTTGATTGTTTCTTTCCCGTTTTATGTCATCATAGATGTACTAATGGAATTAACCTTAAGTGACTTTAGCGTCGGTGGCACAGCGGTAGAGTGCTCACCAACCATGCCCCACGTGGTTCGGGGATCAATCTCCGGTCGACACAGTTTTTTTACCTCGCTTGGCCATTAATAACACTGGTAAAGAGAGAAGATTGGGATAGATGAGGCTAGCAACCCACTCCTGTAAATTAAACACCACCTGTTGCTTGAAACCCTATGTTCCACTGGGAACGTAAAGAAATAAAAAGAAAAAAGACTTCAGCAACTTAGGGATTGAATAGTTACCAGGGATAAATCTTACTGACTTACAATATGTGGATGATATAGTCATCATAGGTAAAGACAATCATAAAATGAAGACTTATGAACACATTAAGTCGCTCATGTCAAATGTTAAATGATGATGCTTGACTGAACTGTATCAACTTCTAGCTTGAAGATAGAAAGTTAAGTAGTTGAGCATGTGAACCACTTCACTTATTTGAGAAGTTACATCGGCTTCAGTGGGCTGATCGCTGACGAAATCTCAGCACAAATAGAGAAGGATCGTGTGATATTTGCCGACTTACACCATCCGTGACATAGATGTAATATACGATTTTCGATCAACGGACGTGTGTACTGCTCATCACTTCGCCCCATCCTCCTTTATGTCTGTGAAACAAGGCCAGTGAAATTGGAAGGTATGAAAGGCTAGCTATCTCCTGTGTGAAAGGGTATAATAGGATGAGTAATATTGAGGTTATGCGTCGAGTGCTAGGTAAGGAGGGGAAATCAATCGACGAGGCTGTGAATTTACATCAATTGAGGTATTCAGGATATGTATTGCAGACGCCTGGCCATCTCCTTCCTCGACAGGCAATGTCATCTGGCATAAGATTAGTTTGGGAGAGAGTTAGTAGTGGCCAAACGAAAACGTGGTACCAGTCCATGGAATCTTTGGCAGTTAGTTTAAATCACATAGGGAGGTGTAGACTTCCTGATTGACGTCTTCGGGATAGTAAGAACCAGTGACTAAAGACAATTGGTGACATGGCTCAAAATCGTTCCCCATGGATGGCACAGATGCATTCACACTCTCTGTGATCTGCCGAATCTACAAACACCCTATTATTTTTCTGTTACTTTTCTTTCTTCCTCACATTTCTGTTTATTATCGTTCTTCCGAATCTGTTCTTTTTTTCTTTGTCTTCTTTTGTGTGCTACATGGAGTTTGTCAACTTGAATTGCTGCACTTCTTTGCAAAATTCTACGTTGAAACCAGTTAGTCAGTGGGTCAACATTATGCACAAAATAAAACCTATGAGAAGACTGATTAACATATGACATTTCTTAGTGAATTCATCACACGTTTACTTTGATATGTATTTCAAACAACTGCTAGGATCTTTGGTTACGTTTGAGGTTCACGACAGAAATGAATTTGGTGTAAACGATGAGGTATTTATTAGTTTTGACTGCAAAGAAGTAATTCGACTTTAGAATAACAATTCAAGATTTTGGTGTGTTAAGTATATTACTGAAGAAACCCACTAGATTAATTCACTGTCTAACTAGTTAGGACTCAAGTACCTCTGAGCATAGTTTCATGAGTCGGTGGCACAGAGGTAGAGTGCTTGCCGACCACGCAGGTGGTCTGGGGTTCGAATCCAGGCCGACGCACTCTTTTACCTCACTAAGTCAGTTATAAGACTGGTAAAGAGGGGAGGTTGTGCATGAGACTAGCAACTCCATCCTGTAAAAGATATCACCACCGCTTCAGAAACTTCAAACCTCTATTTTGAAGCCCTATGTTCCTCTGGGAATGGAAAGTAATAAAACAAACTGGTTTTCATGCATCAGGCCATAAGCTACACCTAACGTATCAGAGCTGATAAGACTACACAGTTATTTGTCTAGATTGAAGTGGGTGGAATGACATTTGAACCCGGTAATCAGGTCCTTAAGCCAATGCACTTCATCTCCACCCAGTCACCGTCCAAAATTCATTGTCAAGTTATCTGTGGAGTAATTCGTCAAAGGCGTGGGGAAGAAAATCTATGCTGAGATAATTTAACGGTCGGAAAAAAATATTCACTTACTAGGAACCATAAGAAGGCACTCTACTCGTACTCATACAGCCAGGTGAGGGCTTACGGCGAGCTGTCATCTGAACTGATGACGACCAGTGGTGTCCGTCAAGGATGCCCATTATCTCCTTTTCTATTCAACTTCATCATAGATGTGTTAATGGACTTAACCCTAGGTGACTTCAGCGACTCAGGGATTGACTTGCTACCGGGGAATAATCTCGTTGACTTGGAATATGCAGACGATATAGTCCTTCTAGGCGAAGACGCTGACGAAATGCAGAGTCTTCTAAACACCTTGAGCCGCAATCTACGGATGTTTGGCATGCGATTCACCCCCGCCAACTGTAAGATGATGTTACAGGACTGGACTACATCGACGCCTAGTTTAAAAATAGGAAGTGAAGTGGTAGAGCACGTTGACCGCTTCACTTGTTTGGGAAGTACCATCAGCCAACGCCAACGGGTTGATCTCTGACGAAATCTCAGCACGAATACAAGGGGCTCGTTTCGCATTTGCCAGTTTACGCCGACTCTGGCGTAGACGAGATGTTCGACTACCGACCAAAGGGCAGGTGTACTGCTCATCAGTCCGCTCCGTCCTCCTTTATGGCTGTGAGACCTGGCCATTGAGAGTGGAAGACATGAAAAGCCTGGCTAGCTGTCTTTGATCATAGATGCCTGCGCTTTATTTCCGGTGTGAGGTGGCATAATAAGGTGAGCAATATTGAGGTTAGGCGTCGAGTTCTAGGTAAACAGGGGAAATCAATCGACGAAGTCGTGAAGTTACAAAGACTGAAATGGTTAGGACATGTGTTACGTATGCCAAGCCATCGCCTTCCTCGACTGTCTGTCTGTCTGTCTGTCTGGATTCAACATAGAACTTGGCACCGAAGTGCAGCAGTTCGAGTTGCCACGTTCCAAATAGCACACAGAGGTAGACAAGAAGATGAGTGAAGAGAATTAATAGAGTTTGACAAATATAAGAGTGAAACAGAATGGGTAATGGTAGAAAGGAATATGAAAGATTACAGAGATTGAATACATCTGCGCCATTGACAACGATTTTGAGCCATGTCACCTATTGTCTCCAGCCATTGATTCCTAGAGTCCCGAGGGCCCCAACCCGGGAGTCTGCATCTCCCTACCTGACTCAGTTTAACTGTCAAGGATTTCATGGATTGATGCCATGTTTTTGTTTGGCCACCACTGGCTCTTTTCCAACCTGAACCTATATCAGCTAACAATGCCCGTCGGGGGAGGCGGTGGTTAGGCATGCGCACCACGTGACCTAGCCATCTTAGTCTATGTAACTTTATAACCTCGTCGATTGATTTTCCCTCTTTGCCCAACACTCTACGCCTAACGTCAACATTACTTACCTTATTAAACCACCTAACGTGAGACAGAGATCGCAGACATCTATGATCGAAAGCAGTCAACCTTTTCATGTCTTCAACGCGTATTGGCCATGTTTCAGAGCCATAGAGAAGGATGGAGCGAACTGATGAGCAGTACACACGTCCCTTGGTTGATAACCGGATGTCACGCCTACGCCAGAGATGGTGTAAGTCAGCGAAAGCAGCTCGAGCTTTTCGGATCCGTGCTGAGATTTCATCGCCAATCAGTCCGTTGGTGCTGATACAACTTCCCAAGTAGGTGAAGTGGTCAACATGTTCTATCACTTCACTCCCTATCACTAAGTTAGGGGTTGACGTCGTCCAGTCCTGTAGCAGCATCTTACATTTTGCAGGGGCGAATCGCATGCCAAACATACGAAGATTGCTGCTCAAGGTGTTCAGAAGACTCTGCATTTTGTCAGCATCCTCCCCTAACAGGACTATGTCATCTGCATATTCTAAGTCCATTAGATTATTCCCTGGTAACAAGTCGATTCCTAAGTCACTACGTTCAGTTAAGGATACTTCCATTAGCATATCTATGATGAAGTTAAACAGAAATGGGGAAAGTGGACATCCCTGTCGGACACCACTGGTTGTTACTAATTCCTCGACTGACGGGCAATGTTAGCGGATATAGGGTCAGGCTGGAAAAAAGCTAGCGGCGGTCAAACAAAAACTTGGCTTCACCAGTCAATGAAATCCACAACAGTTGGTCTAAGCCACGTAGGAAGGTGTAGACTTCCAGGCTGGGGTCCTCGGGACGGCAAAAATCTATGGTTGGAAACAATTGGTGACATGGCTCAAAACCGTTCTCAGTGGCGCAGATGCATCCACTCCCTGTGACTTATGATCTTCAATGAAACTTTTTTGTTCTTCGCTGATACTCTTTATTTGTCTCACACCTCTGCTTACTGTGTCTATTATGCTTTTCTTGTACTTTCTTCTCTTGCTTCGTGTGCTACATGTAGTGTGGCGACTTGAACTGCCGCACATATGTGCAAAGTTCTATGTCGAAAACAGACAGACAGACATAAGAGGTATGGTTTAAATGATTAGTTTTCAGTTTAAGTCAACTACCACCTATTATACACCGAATTTGGATGATTTCGAGTTGCATTTTATCCAATAAAGTTTTGGGCAGTCATATAGCATTACTATCTGCTAATTCATGCATCTATGCTTATAATTTAGCAAATGAACTTGTTCTATTATTATTTTTATTATTTCTTTCAGAGTGTAACTTGAAACTTTTTGATAGTACAACATTTGCCAGTCAACTGGCTGATTGTATGTCACGAAGTTATGAATCTGTATTCGCATTAACTCATATGTGTTCTATCCGTATTAGTTTTGTAAAAGGATGGGGAGCTGATTATAGGTAAGATGATTGTTTTGATTTTTCGTCTTTAAAAAAATTTTTTTTACTATAAAGGTGTCAGTGTTCGTTCGCTATTGTTTTTGTATTTGAAAAGCAAATTAAAATCGAAAGGTACCTTAGAGATTGTCTTTATTTTTGTGATTCAGTCAGGTTATGCATTCTAACAATAATAATATAAACCGAGTTGTGTGTTACTGCTTCATTGGTGGAGTATTTGTCAGACACATGGGATGTGCAAGTTCGATTCCCAACTGATACACTCCTGAACATCCCCCAGTTTATTAGCCCGAAAAAAAGGAAGATTAGACGTGAAGCTGGTAACTTTGCTGCTTAGAGGAATAACACCACCGATGATGATAATTCAATGCTTGTGAAACTTTTGTTTCATTCAGTCGGCAAAGAATGAAAAACAAACCGAGTTGACGAATGAAAGTGTATCTCGTCTTCTAGAATATTCCTAATAATACTGTGTTTTTCAGTATATTTGGTGTATTTATTTCTTATATTACCACATACACACACATGCACGGATATTGATGGTCTGATTAAATCATGACTGACAATGCTGCACAGTTGCAGAGGATAGGGTGGGAGGAATGAGATTCAAAGCTGAGATCCATTGACTAAAAGTTGATTGTTTTAGCCAATGAGAGCCAGAGATTAAAATCTTTATACACATTCTATCTTTTATCACATTTTGTTTTACCATTGATAGTGTTGAAATTATTAATATTATCTAAAGATTGTAATGCATCATTACATTTTGTCTAAATCAATATTTATGAAAAGATTTTATTATTTGATTCATTTTTAAACTAAAATGTTATCGGCAATAGTAAACAATAAGCACTAAACTCGAGTGATCCTGAACCAACCAATCAGATCTCTCTCAGCATTACAGATCGATTCTTTTCAAAATCTTCGTCTCAAGATCCACTCTAACCCCCTAATCATCATTGCAAATTTCACTCTAACTTTAGCCATAACTCTACTGTAACCTTAACGCTGAATCAGGATGAAGCTTGCAACGAAGATAACAAAAGACATCAGTTTGCAATGCTGGGCGATCTGATTGGCTGGTTCAAGGTCAGTCGACGTTGGTGTCTATTCTTTACTGTTTTTATGTTATCTCGGTTATATTGAATCGTTTAATCCACTTTAGTTGTGTTTTGTTTTTGGCTTCATGAATTGTTAATCCTTGTTAGGTTAAAACTATGAGTTTATGATCAAATTACACAACTTGACTACTCAATGACTAAATATTTGTTTTACTCATGCTATAGATTTTATTTTATATTACTTTTATTATATATTAAAGCCTCAGTCCCGTGTATATAAATTCAGAGCTAGGTCCCATTGGCTAAATAGTCATCAATGAGCTCTCGTCTTGCAACCGGAAGATTCTGGGTTCAAACTCCGGTGGTTGGCGTGATAATAACCATATTATCCGTCACTTTAACTGTCAATTCTGAAGATTGATCACATCACAGTGACAACTGTGGTAATACGCTGTCAGGTCGACGTTTTTTAAATTCCTTTTAGCGTTCCTGGTGGAAAATAGGGATTTGAATTTCCTGTAACAATGATGTTATTCTTTATTTTACGCCTAACCTTCCCTCTTCACCTGTCTTACTACTGGGACGGATTATGTTGGCCCAGAATTTGAACTCCAGACCAGTTACGTAGTGGTTGGCGAACATTCTCTCACTGAACCACAAACCCACCGTCGCTTCTAAGATTATTATTATTATTATTTCCTTGGGTCTTGAATGGAACATGGGGCTTTAACAACACATCTTCATTACATCCGGTCCTCTGCAACCCTTTTTAGTTGACCTGCGGTTGCCCAAATTCTTTCATCTCCTTCTTGCACCATATCCATGTCACTCTCAGGCGCCTCACTCGTCGTTTTGTGTTCAGTTTCCTACCGATTAATAGCCTGGCACGTGATATCATTCTATGATCTCCTCAGCATTTGTCCCATCCATCTCCATTTTCTACGGCATATTTGCTAAGTTATAGGTTCTCGTTTAGTTTGTTTCCAGAGTTTCTTGTTGCTAATTCTTTCTGGCTATTTGATCCTCAATCTGAAGCCAACAAAGGCAACTGTCGGTAAAAGTTCACAGCCTGTTGGAATTGCTTCTCGTGATGCGAGCGCCAATTTTCTCACCCATACAGAAGAAGAACTGACTTCATATTGGTGTTCAGATCCTATTGTATAATTAGTTATCATTTGAGCATCTAACTCTGAAAACTGACTCTTCAGACCAAATCTTTCTATCTTTAAATTGACATCTTACGTGTCCTGGATGGATCACAAATTATTACATAACACAGTAGACAAAAAGGCTGTACTATGCAAGTTATATAAAATTGTTACTTACCTTTTTTTTCTTACGAAACTTTGATTATAACCTTAACTGACACAGCTCATTCCATAATAATTTGTTGATGAAATATATCATACAGAGTGAAATAGTATTATTTACTGGATGACGACATTTTGAACACAATTTATTATTGTTTATAATCACATCAGTTGTAACCGCACACTTTTAAAAACTGATTTTTTAACTAAAGCAAGAACAATAGTGTGGTTTGTGCAGAATAATAATGGTACGATCATTTATTTCGTTGGCTTCTTATCAGCTGCGTCCGTACAGCCTAAATAAATTATGAGGTTTATGTAAAGAAACGTTTTAACATACTTGCAAATTTTGCATGATGTCAGTTGACAGAAAGTTCCGCAGTTAGTGAACAGTGCTCAGAAAATTGCGCTTATATAGTTTTTACACAGGCAGTTCAAGTGAAAACAAAATAAATGTATGCATATAATGGTAAAGGAGCTCTATAATAAATACGAGAGATGCTTAAGACTCTGAGTGACTAATAAATTAGGTAACAATGTACTGAGTTCAACTCAAATCATAGAAACAAGAGACAAGCAAGATTACACTATGTTAAAGGAGGGCGAAGCTGAAGCCAAAGATTACGTAGTCAAAATGAAAGAAAGAATAAAGACATCCAGTTACCAGGGCAAGGAAAGACTACTGACTGCTTCTTTCTAAACACATAAATCTGGTTTCAAGTTTTTGATAGAAATTGCTTCAGCAAACTTGAGGAGAATGGAGCTTCTTTGTCTATTGGTAATTTTAAAGGATTTCGCGATTTCCACCTCATTACCTGTATCGAGGAGATGTCTGGTAATAGCGCTATTATAAGAGTTTTTTCCCTTGAGGCGTAGGCTTTTCGGCACATGTTCAGAAAATCGTTTTTAAAATAGTTTTCTTTATTCCTATTCGTCGTAAGGGTTGTAGAATTTTTTTTATTACAGCTTGATTCCAAACTATATTTTTGGTACAAGTATGGAATTTTCAGCATGGATATCGGTAGCCTAAATTTTGCAGGCCTACTATAGATATCAGGTGTGAGTCGGCAGGGGGTCGAACCTCGGACCATATGCATGGTCGACGAGAGTCCTAACCACTGTGCCACCGACGCATGATGTGCCGGGTGCACAGGTGTTGAATCATTTCAGTTGCACGTATTTTCAGTTGATTCGATAAATAAAAGCTTTTTTATTGGACATTAGTAACTAGTATGACGTGTCTGGTTCTTTCTTTGGTGCAGACTGCCGACTGCCTCCAACTATCTAATATCATCAAATAAAAGCCTTTATTATCGATCTCTCCCTCCATCCTGTTATATATTAGATTTTAAGACTGTCATCTTATCGCATCATCCTATTGTATAATTATGTATAATTGCATATCGTGGTAAAGCTGAGCCATTCTCCAGATTTCTTATCTTATTCGAGTCAACTCGTCCGACTTGATAGCTCTCCAATTCCTCTCCACTCTGCGTCCACTAAAAACGATGGAAGCCAAAAAACCACCACCGACAGCCTCTTAAAGCCGCGCCACCAATTTCATATAGGAGCTCTTAATGTTAGGACACTTTGCCAAATAGGACAACAAGCATCACTAGCCAAGACCCTGGCATCACGAGCCATTGATGTATGCTGTGTTTCAGAAACACGCATACAAGACCCAAGTGTGGTTATTCACCTAACCCCACCTGGCCAACAGGTTGAATCTGCAAAATTCACCTTGAGGGTGTCAGGAGATGCCACAGCTAGTTCACGAGGATTAGCTGGCGTAGGGATAGCTTTGAGTACTAGGGCAGAAAAGACATTGCTTGACTGGATCCCGGTAGATAGCCGAATGTGTGCTGTCCGCCTGAACGGATCAGTAAGAAGGAGGAAGGACTGCACTACTCGCCGATGCCTTTTCGTAATCTCCGCCTACGCCCCCACTGACTGCAGTTCAGATGAAACGAAGGATGAGTTCTACCAAAAGCTGTCTAGTTTGGTGGAAAGGCTAAACGCTCAGACATAGTCGTTCTAGCTGGTGACTTTAACGCTCAAGTAGGGAAATTGTGTCAATCTGAGAAGGATGTCGGTGGCACCTATGGAGTCCGTGCCAGCGAACCGACAACGGTGACCGTCTCCTACAGTTCTGCTCTGATAATCATTTGTTTCTTGTAAGCACTAACTTCAAACACAAGGAGAGACACTGTTTGACTTGGAGACCCCCTTCATCAAACCAACGCTGGACACAAATAGACCACATAGCAATAAGCTATCGTTGGCGTGGGTCGGTAGGAGATTGTCGCTCCTTCTGGAACACGTGCGTAGATACCGACCATGCACTGGTCCGCGCTCGGGTGTGCTTACGACTGAACGGACGTAGGAAACAGCTGGCGGTAAAACCATCACGTCCCCAGCTCGATCAGGAAACTAAATCCGTATTTCAGGAAGAACTAGCTAAACACATATCTGTGTTCGACAGCTGTGCTCACCCTGAAGAAGCTTGGAAAAATATCCAGGCAGCCATAGATACAGCTGTAAAAGCTGTGAATAAGGTAAACCCAAAGGTGAGTAAAAACCACTGGATCTCCACCGCCTCATCCGAACTGATAGATGCTAGAAGACTTATTCCGGCGAGCTCCGAATTCAATGAGGAGCGAAAGCTGCACAAGAGGAAACTTACGAAAAGTCTCCGCAAGGACCGTGAACAGTGGTGGGCGACAAAAGCCAAAGAGATGGAGAAAGCTTGAGGATAGGCAACACCAGGCAACTCTTTGGACTCATCAGGGAAACGGGTGGGAGAAGACAAATCATTAGTGAGACAATCTCGGAAAAAAATGGCACTATAATTAGCTCCCAGGATAGACGACTGGATCGTTGGAAAGAGCATTATGAGGAGCAGTTTAATTTGCCCACAGCCACGCTCAACCTTCCGAGCATCCAACACCTCCCTGAATGGGATATAGATACAGGTCCTCCGTCACTAACTGAGGTTACTAAAGCTGTCACCAATCTGAAACTAGGCAAAGCAGCGGGACCTGATGGAATGACTCCAGAGGTATTTAAGTACGGTGGAGACAGCTTACTGTCCGGATTAACTGAGGTACTAGGCAGCGTCTGGGAATCAGAAGAAGTCCCATCGGGTTGGTGTAAGTCACTGATTATCCCCATATACAAGAAGGGAGACAAGTCTTCCTGTGATAATCACAGAGGGATTAGCTTGACTAATATAGTATCTAAAGTCTTAGGCTCAATAATCATGCGTAGACTGAGTGGTGCTCGGGAAGCACAAACACGAGAGAGCCAGGCAGGCTTTAGACCAGGAAGAGGGTGTATTGATCATATCTTCACCCTCCGACAGATTCTAGAACATAGGCATTCCTACCGGCGTCCAACAGTCATTATATTTCTTGACCTAAAGGCAGCATTCGACTCTGTCGATCGGGAAGTTCTCTGGAGATGCTTGGCTGTAAAGGGAATTCCAAGAAAATATATTGCACTGATTAAGGCACTCTATTCGTACTCATACAGCCAGGTGAGGGCTTACGGCGAGCTGTCATCTGAACTGATGACGACCAGTGGTGTCCGTCAAGGATGCCCATTATCTCCTTTTCTATTCAACTTCATCATAGATGTGTTAATGGACTTAACCCTAGGTGACTTCAGCGACTCAGGAATTGACTTGCTACCGGGGAATAATCTCGTTGACTTGGAATATGCAGACGATATAGTCCTTCTAGGCGAAGACGCTGACGAAATGCAGAGTCTTCTAAACACCTTGAGCCGCAATCTACGAATGTTTGGCATGCGATTCGCTCCCGCCAAATGCAAGATGATGTTACAGGACTGGACTACATCGACGCCTAGTTTAAAAATAGGAAGTGAAGTGGTAGAGCACGTTGACCGCTTCACTTATTTGGGAAGTACCATCAGCCCCAACGGGTTGATCTCTGACGAAATCTCAGCACGAATACAAGGGGCTCGTTTCGCATTTGTTAGTTTACGCCGACTCTGGCGTAGACGAGATGTTCGACTATCGACCAAAGGGCGGGTGTACTGCTCATCAGTCCGCTCCGTCCTCCTTTATGGTTGTGAGACCTGGCCACTGAGAGTGGAAGACATGAAAAGACTAGCTGTCTTTGATCATAGGTGCCTGCGTTCTATTTCCCGTGTAAAGTGGCATAATAAGGTGAGCAACATGGAGGTTAGGCGTAGAGTTCTAGGTAAACAGGGGAAATCAATCGACGAAGTCGTGAAGCTACAAAGACTAAGATAGTTAGGACATGTGTTACGTATATCTAATCATCGCCTTCCTTGACTGACGGGCTATGTTAGCTGACATAGGGTCAGGTTGGAACAGTTAAATAGTGGTGGTCAAACCAAAACATGATACCAGTCAATGAAATCCACAATATTTATTTTAATCCACGTGTTGAGGTGTAGACTTCCTGGTTGGTGTCCTCGGGACGGGAAAAAACAATGGCTTGAAACAATTGGTAATATGGTTCAAAATCGTTCTCACTGGATGGTGTAGATGCATCCACTCCTTGTGACTTATGATTTCCAATGAGACTATATTGTTCTTCGTTATCACTATTCCTTTGTCTCACACCTCTATTTACTGTTTTTGTTATGTATTTCTTCTACTTTCTTCTCTTGCTTTGTGTGCTACGAGAAGGGATTTTGGCGAATTGAACAGCCGCACATCGGTGCAAAGTTCTATGTCGAAAACAGACAGACATACTATACTACAATACCTAAATTAACATAGTTTATATTTGAATAGTATTATTATTTATTTATTTATTTACTTATTTATTTATTCTACCTTTTAAATTTATAGAAGACAAACAATTACTAGTACACCATGTTGGATAGAAGTTCATCTAAATGGTCCTTTAAAATGGCTTGATCGTGTATTACGGCAAATGGGTTCACCTACACTTCCATGTACATCAGTTAGCTAATATAAGTAAACAATTAAATAAGCCTTTATAAAAAATAAATAATATTCAGTTATATTACTCAACACTGTATCAGTAGTACCACCACCAACAACAATAACAAAAGAAGCAACAGAAATACAAAAGAGCCATATAACAACTGATCTCATTCACTTATTTCTTGTATATTACTACTATTATTGTTATTATTAAAGTATAATTTACTTCACTACCTTTTTTCATCTATAACAGCTGGTAATTGACAATCACATCCAAGTGTTTATTTGTAATTTTGTCTATTTATTTGTTTTACCTATTTACCTTTTTTCTCTTTTTGTGTTTTATTTTTTACTGATACTTTCCTCTGTGTGTTCGTCCAACAGTTATTTTAAATCCTTTTGAGAATACACACCCACACAAAGAAAAAAGAATAATTGCCTCCACTTTTTTCTTAAAAAAACATCTTAAAAAAAATTGTGTGTGTCAGTACTTTGTTGTCTTTTAACGGATATATACTTTTTATCTACAAATTAGCATTTACGCTACACCCTGATACTCCTCCTCATACTATTGATAACAATAGTAGTAGTCATCAGAATAATGATGGTAAGAAACAATTAAGGTGTTTCATCCTTTCAAAAACAAACAGGTGGTGATCAATGATGATGATGAGATACGCTATATTATTAATAAACACTTGCAAATACCATAACAATTTTATAGATTTTTTTAAAATATACATATATGTATTACTTATTTCTTTACTTACTTTCTTGTCTTTGTGGTACTCGATAGGATTTGAGTAGTGTTCACTGTTGTTATTGTCGTCCTTCCTATACACATAGAAAATTTAATTCAGGTTTAGTGTGTGTATGTTTGTGTATCTGTGTGTACACTTATTTTGTGTATTCTTACTGATCTCTCTCTCTCCCCCTCTGTCGTTTTTCTTCTTAATGAGTTGTATTGTGAATTGTTTTGTTGATAAGCAAATTATCGATAACTATAATCTCCCTCCCTTTTCGTGTGATAACACAATACTTTTATCTTTTGTGTGTGTGAATGTGTGTGTGTGGAAGACTTCTTCCTCATTTTAATTGTACAAAATATCCTCTTTTTTCTTTTCTTTCTTCTGTAATCACTAGGCTTATTCTGTATATCTACTATCTCTCCCCCTCCCCCCCCCGACACACACACGCATGAACGCACGCACGCACATGCAGACAAAATCGCGTGCATGTTATTACTCGATATTGTTAACTTTACCCAAACATCCATCCTTATTACTCACTCTGTATTGTGCATATATATATATATATATATATATATATATATATATATATATATATATATATATATATAATTTCTTTTTTTTCTTGTGTCATAATTGTAATTCTAGTGATTAACAGCCTATTTGTTGTTTTGTCTAAGTAGTATAAACATCAACACAGTGAAATCCTCTTGCCTAACTGACTGACTGCCTGCTTGCCTGTCTGCCTACTTATGTTTGTTATTCTTTTTGACAAAACAAAGTTTATTATTGTTGTTATCATTACTAACTTATATCTGATGATGAAAACATTTTAAGAGTATTTAAAGTATACCTGTTATCATCATCATAACCATTATTAGGCTGATGACGTTGATGGCGACAGGTGTCAAGTCGTTGAATTTTTATTTCTATCTGCTTGTATATTTATGTGATGACGATGATTAAATTGTTGGATTTGAAAGAATATTCTTTTTACTCTGCTGTACTTTGAAAGTTATAGATAGAGAAAGGAGTATTATTAGATGGTTACAGGCAATCAGCAGGAAGCCTCACCTGAACTAGGTTTCGTGCTAGTTGGTGCCCACCAGTCAACAAGGCGTATCTGAAATCACACTGAAGTAACTCTCATGGCCCTCCCTTATGAGATTCTAATTCTGGCTACCCAGTAGGGTTGCCGTCAGAGGTGTTACCGCTAAGTTCCTTGCTGACTGTTGAGTGCCAACTAGCACGAAGCCTAGGTCAGGTGAGGCTTCCTGTCGATTACATCCAACCGTCTGATATCAACAATTCAAAGTACACCGTGATGGCATGGTGGCCACATTGTAAACTTGACTGTGATAGAATTCAGTCTGTACCATACAAAGGATTAGACGCATTACACCAGTTACTAACTGGTTTCCAGCCAAAAAAAGAGAAAGAAGTGTATAATATAGGTGGAGTGAGAAACATTGTGTACATTTTAATAATAATATCATAGACTAAGTTGATTGAGAAATATTTCAGAATTTAGGGGGTGGGGATAGACTTCCGAATGTCAAGATACTGTGAGAATGTAACGTACAAATTTCACAATATTTAATCAAATTCGAAGTTTACACCGTTTGAAAAGGTGAAATTTCTGTAGTTTCCTTTAGAAACCGAATATATGACACCCTAAATGGTTAATCAAGAAATTCATCATAAAAATGCTTAAAAGTATATACTATTGTGTAGTTGAAATAAGTAGTTGTACACCATTGACTCAATCATTAGTTTACTTACTGATCAAATAAATCGAAGTGATCTAAACACAAGGTAGGTCGTTTCACTCTATTTGAGTCGAGCTGACCCGTGGTTTGACTCAGCTCAGAGAGGTGAATCAGTTCAAACCACTCGATTTCTGGTTAGTTACATAGGCGAACTGATAATACGTTGAATCATATTCTCAATTTACACAGTTCGAGGAGGTGAAGTTTCACCACAGTCCCCGTTGGAAACTGAAATTATTCAGATTACAATATGTGATCTGCTTGATGGCATAGATGGTAATCAAGGTAGCAAGGTTGCCTCAACAACAACAACAACAAAAAGGAATTCTCATTTGAAATGAAATCTACAGTACTATTTAACAATAATAATAACATCGAATAGTCAAAATTATTAGAAAAATGCCGTTAGATAGTTACTTGTTATACAGTTAAGAGAACTTTCAATTATCAGACAAGTACTGCAGAACAAAATTATTTAATCAAACAAAGAAGTACTTGCGAATCAAGAAGAATATTCCCAATAAGGTGGGATCAAAACTTCGTCAACAAGAATCACGCGCTAACAATTCCCATATCAGTCAGTTCAAGGTCAGAATGACGTCAACTCACTCAGACAAAATCCCACCGGAAAACAGCACATTATCACACACACACGACCTCAAAGAGAAGCATTAAAATAAGAAATTAAACAGGAACAAAGATAAATAAATAAAGAGACCAAGTCAACATATGATATACAAATGTCAGAAATATGAAATGCGACCCAAGCAAAAGAAAAGAGGAAGGTACGCACAAAGTTGGTTGAAACATCCAAGCAAGTATCAGTACTGTAATGAGATCGTTCAGGAAGGATCTTTCAAACGATTTATACTATTATTACACAATATTAAATATTCAAGACTGACTGACTCGTTTATCTGAATAAGTATAGCAGTTGCATAAATTCTGTCAAACATTATGCAACAATACTGGTCTGGATGCAATCCTTTTTTTTAAATAATAAAGGTGAGCACTGAGTGTTTTGATAACCTTGCTTATTTGGAAAGTTGTAACGACTGGATTTTTACGAAATACCTACATGAAAACAGAAAGTGTCGTTGACATTACTAATTGTATCTTCATCATTCCGCATCTGAGTTCAACCGCTTCTGTGGGGCTAGTTACATAAATCATACTCAGAGGGCTTTATCTATGCGCACACGTGTACTTGTATGGTTGATTTAAAGGAAAGCAAAATGCGTATACGATGCGATCGTAGCCCACTTGGTAGATGCAGGACATTTAATAAAACCAGAGTATGCGTGCACACTGATCTACCGTGCCTCCGGTAATCGCTGTGGAGGATCTCAGATCTGTCTTCTACCAGTAGCTGGAGTGATAACAATCAATTTGACGTCTGGTCTCTGTATCCAGAAGGAGTATGTCCAGCTGCTTAGTTTAACTTCGCTTACATTAATGTCAATAGATCCTCTGTAAACATCGAAAATTGAACACTTCGGACGGTTATCTCCCTTTGTTTTTATTGAAAATTGTTTATCTCAAACTTTTTATTATGTCTATTACCCAAGGTTAACGTATTGCTATTTAAACTTCTCATTGTATTTACATAATTTTATGCATTCTATCTTATTGAATGATAATCAAACTGCACTGACTACTATACCATCTAATACGCGTAATACGCAATATACTTCCTGATATATAATGTTAATTTGTATGCTAAAACTAATGGATTTATAATTACAGATCATGAGGAAAAATTTATTGAAAAAAATTGTTCATTGTAATGATTTAGAGTTCTGAATAAACATTATTATTATTCCCTTGGGTTCCGGGGGCTTCAACAACATATCTCCACTTTCTCCTATTTTCTGCCATCCTCTTCAGCTGGCTAGTCACACGATTGCCCATAATCTCTCATCTCCTGCTCGTATGACCTCCTCCATGTCACCACCGGAAGACACACTTATGGCTTTCCACTTGGATCCCACTCAAGCGATGGTCTGGTACGATATCATTCAATGGTTTCCTCAACGTATGCCCGATCAATTCATCTCCATTCTCTCCTAGGCTCTTGGGTGGTTTGCTCCCAAACAGAGTTTCTTGTTGCTAATTCTTTCTGGCCCAACTGGCCACTTGATCTTCAGTATAAGGCCAGCCAGCGAAGATGGCAGCTGTTGATGAAAGTCTGCAACATTAAACATCAACTTAATCGGTGGATAGTGACCAGCAGTGGAATCCAGGGTGAGCATTTCGTCCTATTTGGGACGCGACGGGAAAATCTGAAATTCAATTGAAGGATTCAACATTAACAACTATTAAGAGCCTAGACCTATTTTGATAAATCTTTCATCCAGTCCTATACTGAACACGTTTCAAATTCTATATATATATATATATATATATATATATATATATATATATATATATATTCGCTTTACAACCATAACCACAGCCAAAACAACGATAAGAGTAAAAGAGATAACCACACCACAATCAAATAATATTATTAATTTTTTTATTTATATCAAAATTGTCTTTGCTTTCATTACCATCTCTCCTCACGATTAAAGACGCACACACGCACAATATTACTAAGAGAGAACAAAGGAAAAGAATATTAAAAAAACGAGTATTGTGTCACAGCACACAAATATGATAGACAGATATATAGATGGATAGACAGATCACCAGCACATGTGTCAAAAATTTAAATTCTTCAATGCTGTAATTATAAATTAACAAACAAAACCCCACCAAGAGACAGTGAGTGAGTGAGTGAGTGAGTGAGTGAATGAGACGGGGCTGCGCCGGGGAGCGGGGCAGATGAGGGAAGACAAAGACAAGTAGAACAAAATGTCAAGTCCCACTGATAGAAAAAAAAGAAGTCAAAAAAACAAAACAAATTCGACTTTAAAAACAATGGCAATATTTCACCAAAAAATGAAAGATGCAAATATAAATGCAAATAAACAAGGGTGTAGCCTAAATGCATATGACTTTTTTCTTTAATCCCTTCGACGTCACTGTGAGATCATGTTAACACACGCAAGAGATGTGTACACACACACACACACACGGAGACACACTAAAAACGGTTGGATAATAAATGCAGTTAAATGTTGAGAAAATAATAATAATAAGGAGAATCACAGACAGTCTTGAAACCCATTGTTTTACTTCTCCCCAGCGCGTTTATCACCACACCGCCACCACCACCACCACGACCAACCCCCAATCGCTCCATCCATTCAGGTTAGACTTCTCATCCAGTATTTACACTCACATGTGATTTTCTTCAGTCTGGATTTTTGAGACAAAACTATTATTATTATTATTGAATGCTCTTCAAGGTCTCTTGCTCTCTGTCTCTGTCCCTCTCTCTCTCTCTCTCACTGTTTTCTTCAGCAGAGTAATATTAAGGAAGAAACAAAACGGGTGGGGTGGGGGAAGGAGGAGGAATAGGAGTAGAGAAATGCAAAAACAAAAAACAAGGCAGATAGATATCATTGTTCTTATACACATACATTGAATCAATCGATATATTTAGGTGTAGGTGGCGTAGGTTGTTTTATTATTATTATTGTTACGATAATAATTATCATTACTGTTAATAATAATATTAATAATAATAAGGTGAAATGAAACAAAACGCACTTTTTGTTCCTATTAGATTAACAATAAAATATAATGTCTGTTTTTGTTTTCAGGGAGAAATGATTAGGAGTAAAACCAGAAGACAGAAGGATTAAAAGGGCGGGGGGGGGGCGGGGAATGGATGGTATTAGAGTAAAGACATCGACATATATACGACGCATATTATGTATGCATATCGAGAAATTCAAGAGAGTTTATGACGTAATATGAGCATTTGAATAGTTTTAGGATAGAAACTGATAGAAACAGATAGACTGATAGATAGATAGATAGATTATTGATTACCTAATTTAGTGAGAATAACATTTTTACAAGAGTATATGTATGTATCACGTGGTACAATTTTATTTAAATGGACATGGGAGATAGAACAGATGAAAATCGATTGTTTTTCTTGTTGTTGCCAAGATCACATGATTCATATTTGAGATCATCTTCATGATTATTATTATTATCATCATCACAGTAGGTAGGGGTTGCTTGTTTCGTCTCTTTCATAATAAATCCTCTTTAACCGATTGATTGATTGGTTGAGAATAATGAGTGGGACATACGAGAAAATATTATCTCATATACATCGAATTATCACAAATACGTAAGAGTAATATAATTAATAATAATAATATGATTACATAAAATAAATGCAGAGAGAGAGAAGACCACGACGGCAACAAGACGAAGTGAAAGAGAAAGAGAAGAGTTGATATATATATATATATATATATATATATATATATATATATCAGCTTAAAAGGGGAATCTAGTTCATTAATGACATATGTAATGTGTATTAGGAGGGGGGAGGGGGAATTTTTTAATGGCGCTTTACGGTTGGTTGGTTAACGACCTCATATGTATGTGTATACAGACAAACAAACAAAATGCAACAATCTTCTGTTAAGGATGATGTTGTTCCTGCTGATGAAGACTAGGTGTTGATGAATCAGGTGTTGTTTGAATATCTGAATTACTTGAATTCAGTTGTTGTTGGTGGTGTTGTTGTTTTAAATCTGATAAATGTCGATAAAGTGCTTCAGCATCTTCATAAACTTCTCTAAATAAAAACAAGAAATAACTACTAATTAGTTGAAATATACAATATAGGCACTGTAATGAGAACAGATACTTACACTAAAGACAACAGAAGTAACAAGAATAAAATATTAATCATAGAATTTCAAGTGAAGTGAAATACCTCACAATCGTGAGATTACGTTACTAATGACTACCAGTCTTAAGTGAAACAACTCCTCAATGACCTCATGCATCACCATCGCCTTCCTCGACGACAGGTAATGAATGTTAGCTGATATGGTGTCAGGTTGGAGAAGAGTTGACTAGTCGTGGTCAAACCAAAACATGACTTCATCAGTCAATGAAATCCACAACAGTTAGTTTAAGCAAGCCAGCCACATATGAAGGTGTGGACTTCCTGACTATTTGGGGTCCTCGGGATGATAAAAACAAATGGCTGGAGATAATTGGTGACATGGCTCGAAATCGTTCTCATAGGCTGACGTAGATGCATCCGTTCCTTTTGACTTATAATACCTAATAAAACTATACTGTTCTTCGATATTACTGATCTTTTTGCCTCATGTCTCTGTTTACTGTTTCTGTTTTGCGTCTCTTTTTCCTTCCTTCTTTTTCTTCTTCTCTGGCTTTATGTTCTGAGTGAAGTGCGGTGACTCGAGCCGGTGCACATCGGTGCAAAATTCTATGTTGAAACCAGTTAGTCAGATCTCATGCATTCCATTTCTTCAATTAACATCGATTATTGACAGTATATATTCTAAATAAAATGACTACTCACTCAGTAAATAAATTTTACTCAACCAAGTGATATATTTTGCTCTTTTGATGAAGTTAAGACTCATTTTTACTGAAAAGTTGCATAAGGTAGAATATCTTATTCAGTAGATTCTACAGACCCTAAAAATCATATTTCCCAGGCTTTCAAGTTAGAGCTTTGAAGTTTCAGTAGCAGTGGTGTTTACTTTTACGGGATGGGATTGCTAGCCTCACCTATCCCAATCTCCTCTCGTTACCAGTTTTATTGGTGGACAAGCGAGGTAAAGAAGTGCGTCGGCGTGAGGTGTAGTTGGTGAGCATTCTACCGTTGTGCCACCGACGCAGCTAAAAAGTATATACATACATGAAAAGCTTTGTCAGTTAGACTTGAACAGGTACTAAACAATTCATTTCACTTCGTCTTGCTTTAAATTCTAAACACAATATCTTGTCAGTCATTCAAGATATGAAAGATTGTACTTTGAAGTATTCTCCTCGATAGTATAACTCTATAGTATAAAAATAAACTTGAAGACTCATTGATGTCGAAAGAAAATGAAAACAGTTGATACATTTCAGGCTTGTGTACGAAACTGAGAATCATATCTATTGTGTGATATATACAGATGCTAACAGGGTTAAATGAAATATCCCTAAGTTTCTGGATATTTAATAAACTAAAGAATCACAGTTCAATCTTCAATAAGTTCTCATTATTATATAACAAAACATTGGAAGACTATTTCTAGTCTTGTATATGCGATATACAAAGAAGTACAATCTTATAACTGACATTAATATGAGAGACTATTAGTGGTAAAATGATAGAATTCTTTGCTAGACAGCCAAAGTCCAGGTTCGATTCCTGGCCGACACCTTCTCCTGAACGTCGCCTAGCTAGTAGTAAATCCGGAAGGGTGCATATCTGGCAACCCCAAGCCATTAGTACAACATCACTGCTGGTGGAACTCCAAAGCTTCGAGCTTGAAAGTTTTATTAACACAAAAATGAAATTTTAAAAAAACTACTATAAAAACTTGGAAAACAATCAGATAAAATAACTGACAAACCATTACTCAGTAATCTACTAACCTTGTTGTTTTTGGTTTGGAAGCATTGTCATCACAGTTCGGTACAAACTGAAATTTAATAATGGTAATAATCATAATAATAATAATGGTCAGGTGGGTCTATAGTGACTTCAAATATACATGACTATGATGTGTGTACTTCTTGTAATACTTTATAAGTAGTCAGTACTGAGATGTGACAGGTCAAGATCACCATCAAGAGACTACTGGAAGATGGGCGTATGTCCTGCCTTTTAAATGTGAAATATAGCCGGTGAAAAGAGATATCAAAAATGACTACTGATCTTTCAAATTATCTATCCTTTTGCTTGCAAATGAATTCCAGTCGAACGGTTCCATATGTAACCTAGATAGAGACAGAAATTTCAGCTAGTGGACTCATTTCACTCACTGATATACAAGATATGGTTATTGACGACATCTTAAATTCATGAAAACCACCCGATCTACACAGATGTTGTGTAGAAAACTATCACTAAACAAGACAGAAGACGGAATTTAGAGTAAAGCTATACTTAAACACCTAGTGTCCCAAATATATATATTTCTATGCTCTCTCTCTTTCCCAATGCTCTGTGTATCAAAATGCATCCTTAAAAAGCTATCAGTGTAGTATCCTCTCTTCAATAATTGAGCGATGTTTCGGACAACCTGACAGCCATATTATGTTGGGTCGAGCTAAGGTTTCGGTACTAAGGATAAGTCTTTTGACAGGAAGTTTGGTTACTGAACTTCCTCTCCTCCAGAGTTCTTCGACTGGCGGTGATGAAGACTGTTTATGCCATAGTACATAATTTTGGGACAATTATCCCTAGTAAAAAACTGATGACCAGAAGTGTTCTACCATAGACACTCTCCAGTCACTGGGTTAAAGCTTGTGACTACAAGGCCTCTGATAGCAAAAAAATTTCAATCTGGACATCGTTTACTCGTAAGTGATCACTAATAATAATATATTCGTGTTTATGCAGCCAAATACGAATTACACAAGCATAAGTTACTATTGGCATTGCATAGGAAGGACATCTATGAGGGTTTTCCGACCACATCTTGCTAGACTCTCTAGACTTAATATGGTATAACTACATATATCTTGATATAAACATATTAATTCACATGGAAAGTATGCTAGTTCTCTATTGAAGAGGTAAGTGTATCAGAATAGATGGCCACACAAGAATCATGAGTATTATTTATAGTTGAAGATAACAAATTAACGAGTTAAGAATCCTTTAAGTGACGTAAGTAAACGGATTGCAAGGATATGTATACATTTCGAGCTATAATACGGTAACAATACATAGAGTATTCGCACTTAATTGCTTATATAAACCTATTTTATTCTTTAGTTATGAAAATCTCACATTCATCCCATGTATAGTAATATTAGCATATGACTGTATTATTATTCCCTTGGATTCCGAGTGGATGCATAGGGCTTCAATAATACATCTCCACTTTGTTCTACTTTCTGCTGTCCTCTTCAGCTGGACACTTCAGTTGTCCATAATCTCTCACCTCCTCCTCGCCACACGATCTCCTCCATATCACCCTCACACCAATGACCCAATCGTCATTTCCCATTGGGATTCTACTCGAGTGATGGACTGCGCTGCGCGCTATGTCATTCGACGGTTTCCTCAATGTATGCCCGATCCATCCATCTCTATTTTCGCCTACATATTTGTTGACCAATCAGCTCTTGATCAGTTTGTCCCTAGAGTTTCTTGCTGCTAATTATTTTTGGTAGGCCATTTGATCTTCAGTATGGGAGCCAGCCAGCAAAGGTGGCAGTTGTTGATGAAAGTCCGCAGCCTGTTGGAAATCCTTTTCGTGATACGCAGTGCAAGGTTTTGACCCGGAGAGAACAAATGACTGACTTCACATTTGTGTTGAAAATCCTAATCTAGTTCTTTATGATGAGGTGGAGTGTAGAACATTTCCAAACTGATTTCAGATTGATGAAGGTGTATCTTGTCTTTACGATTCTGGCCGGTCTTGATATCTTTGACACACGACTGAAGGATTTATTAAAATTGTTTCGATTTTCCTATCGACTAATTCCGTTGTAAAAAAAAAATGCCCAGCTCCTGACAGGGAGGGTTCTACAACCCATACAACTGACAATTATTCAAACAGAACAAAACGTAAATCCTGGATTCTAGTGTTATGCAACATCAAAATAAAGAGCAATATGATTGTATGGTTTGAAGGAGTTATCGTTAATCAGTATTGATAAGTTATTGTCCGCTGTTAGTAGAATTCCAATCATTTAACTATATATTGTCTTTTGTTAATATAGCAATGACAGATTCATTGCTGTTAGAGAGCTCGGTAGTAGTAGTGCAACAACAGAAGACAAGGGCCGGCAACAGATTGTTTTATTACGGAAATCAGCACGTATTTATATATATTTCATGTACATTATTATAGCTTATTCAAGCAGACAAACACAGTTTTCTGATTGGTTGTTTCTGGTTTCTTGGAAAGTTAAGCCATATATCTGCGAATCTTATTTACCCACGTTAAGTCTGCTGTGATTGGTTGTTGAATCGGCCTTGTTCATATTTTCTCACGGCCAATATTAGTGATCTAGACATTGACGTAAATTAATGTCTACCAATTGGCTAGCAGCCTGCTATCACCAGTAGTAGTAGTGCAACAACAGAAGACTAGGACCAGGCAACAGATCGTTTATTTAGGAAATCAACACATATTTGTAGATTTTCATGTACATTATTATAGATTAATTAAGTATACAAACACAGTCCTCTGACTGGTTGTTTCTCACTGCAAGTTAATCTTTCATATCTTTGTGGCCGTTTCTTGAAGGTCAGATCATCTATATGCTAATTGTATCCGCCTACGCAAAGTCTACTGTGATTGGTTGTTGAATCAGTCTTTGTTCATATTTTTCTCACGCCCAACATTGGGGACGTAAACATTGACGTAAATTACTGTCTATCAATTTGGCTAGCAGACAGTAATTAACGTCCCGAATGGGGGTCATGAGAAAAAAACAGTAACAAAGCCTAACCTTGAGGAACTCATCAACCAATCACAACAGACTTAACGTGTGCAAATATGATTCGCAGATATATGGCCAAACTGTCTAAGAAACGGCCATAAAGAGATGAGAAAATAACCTTCAACAAGAAAACAACCAATCAGAAGACGATGCTTCCCTATTAACAATAACTCTAATAATAATGTACATAAAAATCTATAAATATTTATTGATTTTCTCAATAAACGATCTATTGCCTGGCCCTTGTCTTCTGTCGTTACAGCAGTCATATAATACAAAGTAGACAATTGCAAGTAAAAGTCTACTTACAAGATTATAAAATGTGATTAAATTGAAAAAAAGTCATTCATAATTAATAATAGTGTCAGCTTACTTCCATAACTGATTCATAGGCTGTTGAACAAGAGCTAATTTCTATATCATACAAACGATTCACAGTACTTTTAGAAAGACTATTAAAATATGGTTGATTGAATCGATGCAGTTGTTGTGATTCTTGTTCATGATGTTGATTAGTACTACTCATTGAGTCCTTACCAGTTCTATTAATTCTTGTAGTCGTTGTCGTCTTTTGATCAATAGCATTTCCAGTGACTGACGAAGGTATACATGATGATAATAGGATGTTTGTTTTTAATGTGGAGGAATTAGGTAAAAATGTTAGATCAGCATATTTTGTAGTAGTTGTAGTTGTTGTCGTAGCAGTCACTATTGTTGTCACAGTCGCCGCCGCCGCCGCTGTTGATGTAGAAAGTTTCACAGTATCCTTTTCGTTCATCACACCTTCTATAGACAGAGTTTTATTGACATCTTTCTCAGGAAACAATTTAAACATTTGAGAAGAGTATCTGACATCGACATTTATTTGTTCATCAGGTGGAGGACTACATGGATTCTTACCACAGTCATTTCCACTGTCATTAATATTAGCTTGAATATTATGTGCAGTATCATAGATGTGTATCGGAGGATCTAGTCTGATAAAAAAAAACAAATTAAAAGAAATAAGGCTACTTGAGTTTTCAATAATGGATGACTTATTGGATCATCAAAATACCGCTTTATTTCTATTTCTATTTTTAGACATGTTAGATAGCCTTAACAAACTGAGAGATTTATGCAAAGCAATGGTGTACACAAATCTATGAATTGATTGATTTGCACTGTATTTTTTTTGTATTTCCATACATGTAAATAAGTTTTTTTTCGGGGAAAGTGACACCCTTCTCTACAACACTTAGCAAAATGACAAAGATTCAAATTGGTATAAGAGTAGAAATTGTGCACTGTGGAGTACAGTGTAATTTATACGAATTTTAAAGGATAAAATTCATTAGGAAGATAAGAAAAGGCCAAAATAGAAAATAATGGGGAAACTAATAATGATAACATAAATAAGAGAAAATATAAGGCATCTACAGTTCTACCATATAAGGAAGGGACATCTGAGAGTCTAAGTAGGATTCTTAATAAAGCAGGAATTAGTGAGACATTCAAGCCTACAAACCTACTTAGATTAGACAAGCTCTGTAGGCTAAAGGATCCTGTCAGTTGACCCAATTAGACAAAATAATATAATTTACAAAATGCCTTGCAATGACTGTGAGTTAATGATATAAGCATAAAAATTAGGTACTGTGGTAGAGTATAACTCCATGATAGATAAGATTTTATTTTGATAAAGTACACAGTGTTGTGCAGTAGTATTAACTGATGACGTTTCGAGCACAAATTATTGCTCTTCATAAGCATATCAAGTCATTCATAAGACTTTTTGCCTCAATTTTCTGAAATCTACTATTGGTCTTATGGGGTAAAATAAAAAGTTATATGAGTGACTTCATATGACTATGAGCAATAGTTTGTGCTCGAAACGACATCAGTTACTATTACTGCACAACACTGTGGGATTTATCAAAATAAAATCTTATCCATAATGGAGAATGTGAGTTAAGTCAACTGCATAGGTCAAACTAGCAGATCGGGGGTAGTCAGATTATCAGAACATAAGAATTTAGCTAAGGTTAGGATGATTGATCTCACGAAGATAAGTAATTTAGAAAGAAAACTCAGCAATAGTACTGCATGCATTAACACACAATCACACAATAGGGAAAGAAAGGCTCATAATTCTAAGTAATATAGGTAGGTGGAGAGAGAGGTTGATTATTGAATCCTTGTTCATCGTGTCTACATGAAACACGTGCAGTAGGAATGACTCATCACTCATACCGGAAATATGGAGAACACCACTACCAATCAAGTCAAGCGATGAAAAATAATGGAATTAAATAAACGAAGTTAGAAAGTTGTATGAATACCTTGATATGATTATGAGCGGCAACAAACTGTGCTTGGAAAGTCATCAGTAAATATTATGGTATAACACGGCGAAACTTTATCAAAATACATTTTACCCACAATTAAAGATTCAAATTCTGAATGCTAATGTAAAGTTAGTGTTTTGAAACACCTTAGAGACGATATGTCACCAAAAGCATTCTCAACAGCCTGCTGTCTTCGGTCAACACCGAACATCAGACAACCGGTGAGAGAGGTTATACAACGAGGAACTCTGATAGCCCAAAAGACATGAACCTATTACCGGAGAAGAAATCAGCGAAATGAAGTGGAAATGGATTGGATATATGCTGAAGGCGTTTTTGAGTGGTATCATAACGCCAGGCGAACACTCAAGTGAAACCCGAATGAAAAGTGATAGTTTGGCAATTCGAGGATGCAATCGAGAAGATCATATGAGGAGGAGGAGGTAAAAGTTTGATGACAGATGGGCAACCAGCTAAAGGAGACAGCTCAGAACAGAATACAGATGTACTACTGAAGTCCCATATTCCATTCAAAATCCAAGGGATGAGTAGTAATGATAATGATGATAATAAGCGAGAAGATTGTCTCATTGTATGTTCAACTGCCGATAAGATTGAATTCGTCATTTGTGAATTACATATTTCAAGCTGAAAATTCACCACAGTTCCCTTAAGAAAATCAATAACATTCATAACACAATACGGGATTAGTGCTTGGTCATGTAAATGGTAATCAAGAAAACAATAAATCCATCAAGGTTGTACAGACATACTGCTGATTGATGTGAGTAGTTGGATACCATTCACATTCTGTTAACTAGCCATCATCAAAATGATAATAATTATCAGACGCCCATTTCGGTCTATCTACTTAAGTATTTATATCATTGCAATCTGATAAGCCAGTGCTACTATTTGACATGTGATTAATTTTCAACCATTCATATCAGTTTGCTAGTGCGTCAATGGCACAGTGGTAGAATGCTCGTCAGCCATGCAGGTGGTCTGGGATTCGATGCCCAGCCACCGATGCACTCCTCCTTTATCTCGCTAAGCCAGTAAATAAGACTGGTAAAGAGGGAAGGTCAGGTATGAGGTTAGTAACCCCCATCCTTTAAAAATAAACATACCACTGCTACTGAAACTTCGCGTATAAGTATAGAAACTTGGGCACTGTGGTAGAGAATAACTTTATTAAGGATAAGATTTATTTGAACAAAGCAAGATTTATCAAAATAATATCTTATGGAATAAAATAATAAAAAAATAAAAATATTTCAGTTTGCTAGTATATAAACCATCCTGAATGATGTTGATAGGTTTACAAATATTGAACCATTTCGACTGTGAGTTAATTCACCATTCAGGTGGTGTTCTTCTAACAATAAAAATATATCACCTCTCTTCTTATAATGTAAGAATTTAATCGAAAAGCTTGTCTTTCCTATTAGTCACAGTTTTAATTAGTTATCTATCAATCAGCTAGCAAAGCATCAATTACACTTCATCGCTACTTACAACAACACATCTAAGAAATTCACTCTTGTTAAACATATGTTAGATAAATAATTGACATTAGGATGAAAAATGTTAACAGCTAAGTAGAATTTGCTCTCTGAACAACTTTTGTTTCTAGCCCCTTTGATAAACATGATCACTGGAATACTTTATTGAAATTAATGGCATCAAAACACTTCCATAAGATCAGAAAACAATTATTTTCTTGTTGTAATCTAAAGGTCAAATAATTAAATGATGAAATCTTCGGACCAATCAAACAAGAAAATCCCTGCAAAACCAATACAACTTGAAAATTGATATGATGCTCACTAGCTACTGGCCGTATTCAGGCAGTTACTTAGGGGGTTCTAGTGGGAAGCTGTGACCAGTAGGGTACAACAGCAGGTTGAAGGTGAGGCAGATACTCATTGAAGAAGACACTGCGAGGTGGTCGCGCCAGATAATGAATTAGCAGAAGTTGGAATTCATGTACTGCCCATTGGATCGAGTCCCAGTGGCTTAATAGTTCTAACCCCAGTGGGTGCGTACTGAAGAAGAGCCAAAAACCAGGGCGAAACAGCTGAATGTCCAGTACTCCCAGGTTTTCCAATGATTCTCCAACTGATATCAGCTCACGACGAGATCCTCCAACCAATTAAATGTCTAATGCATACAACATAAAACAAACACGAGGGAAAAAAAAGATGGAAGACTACCTTTCATGAAGTTTTGCGTAACAAGACGGATGTGACGACGAAGGTGGTGATGAGGATGATGACATTTCTACATGACTATTTATTGGTGTTATTATTGTTTTATTGTTTGTACTGAAATGTATATCGTTCGATAAATTTGATTGTGGTTTAATTAAATTATTTCCAGAATTGTCTTGATGCACTACAACAACATTATTCTGAGTCCTTGAATAATGATTCTGATTGCAAATAACTGTATCTTTTATTGTCTTATCTTTTGCTAAGGTATTCATCAAGTGTCCACGAGATAAATTCGCTTCTAAATTATCTGTACCATTTTGCCAACCAATAGCTTGTTCTGTATTCGTTGTTGCATTTTGATCATTATTACGTCGATGGGTAGTTGGTTTAACCAAACTGAAATCATGAAGATAAATTGAAACATAATTATCAATAATCAATGTTGTATGAGAAACTCAAAACCTGCTTCATTCAATAAGGGACTGAGAAGTAAAACACAAACTCAGTATTAAATATTCAAGCGAATGAGCTAAGGTGTAGCTTTTCGACCACTTAATTACTTAATACAACAGCTAAAATCATTAAGTCTATATTATTTGATCTGTATTGGATTACCATTCAGTTGTTGCTTCAATAGGAGAATATACACCAACCACGGACGTAGTCAAAGTTGGACTCGGACCAGAACATTCCCAAACTTGGCTCAAATAGTAGTAAGCCCAGTAAAGAGGCAAGGTTAGGTGTGGGGCTAGCAACCCCACCCCCTAAAAAACACCACTAGGAACGCAAAAGAATGAGGAAGGATATCAGCAGTAGAATGAAATTTTGTGATACCTATCAAGGTGACAATATTCTATACAAGATTATTTGGGTTCAACAATAAGAGAAAAGACTACACGGCTAGTCTTTCTTTTCCAGGTTGACTATCGGTTAGGCGAGGTTTAGAAATGCATCACCGTGGATCGAATCCGGACACCTTCAGGGCAGCCGGTAAGCATTCCACCACCGAACTGCTAACGCTAACGCAAAATCATAAACCTTACAGTTAGTAAAGTTTTACCGACGTGCTATATTGATACCACTCTGTTAGGTTTGACTTTTTTTAGTGTACGAAGGCGCAAACCACAATAGAAGAATGACTTTTGCAACTCAATTTTGAAGCGTATCGAGTCATTAATCCATTAACTGCTTATCCAGATATCTCTAAAACTTCCTAACTTCACTTATAACCTTTTCCTTTAACAGCTGACACTACTTTATTTCGGATAGTAGGTTTTATTGACAAGTTATATTTTCTTTTATATTCCATATCCATGCGTGTTAGATGCAAAAGACACATGTTTGTCTTCCCGACAATGACATATTAATCCTCTCCAAACCATAATAGTAGCTAAATTATATTTCATTCTAATTTTAGATGTATTTGCTAAAAAAAAGAGGAAGTTACTAGACAGTTACAAAATGAGATCAGTATTTCTGAAATCATTAGAAATACGATCCATTGGACAGACAAACGGACACTGAAGTCCTGATATTTTAGGTCAATCAATTGAAGCAGTAATCAAACCCGAAGTATTTACTAATGCTTAAATAAAATGTAGGATATACATTATGTGTTGCTTAAACATACACATACAAGCATGTACACTGACCTGAATAATTTACCGATGACATTTTTTGGATGAGGGGTCTTTCTTAGACGAGCAGTTTCATTGTTTACACATTTGGCTACAATGAAAACACAATATATTATTAGTGATATAACTTTATGGACAAAGTAGAATGCATAATGGTAAGATAAATGCTAGTCTTTAAAAAAAAACCCATTTTAAATGATTACATGAAACATGCGATATAATAATTTTAAACAAAACTGTATACCATAAACACAAAAACGAAGGTGACCATAATTTCATTGATGACAGACAGAATGTGTGTGTAACACCGTCGAAAAGCATTCTGTAGTAAACAACTGACTATTGTCTGCTGACGTGGACGGAATGAATGTTTCAGTGTCTCCTATCATATAAGAAATATCACATAGATAGCAGATAAACTAAAAGCAAGTTGGCAGCCAAATAAACGTTGCTCTATTTACAGTCTGCTACAGAAATAGTGATGGTTAGTAACTTACAGCTCAAGATTACTAGAAACAAGAGGAATTCTACAGTATATACAAAATGTCAGGTGACGAAGAAATTTCGTACGGAGTGAGAATATTAATACATAATAAAACGGAAAAACGAACAGACTCTCCGAAATTTCCGAGAAGGGTAGACCTTTGTGGAAAACGTTTTGAGGATGTATTCAACTAGTGTACGATAACCTATCGCAGAAATGCAATATAAATTCAATTTGAATCTAACTTGCTTTCAACAGCTGTTCTTAGTGAGGAATCAAGCTAAGTGGATGGGTCTTAAGAGGTTTTTGATGATAGTGGTAATGCACTACTGGAGAAAATAACAAAGTTAACAATAAGTGAGTGAGATGTCGAGATAGCTTAACCAGAACCGTGCAAACCTTTCATCATCATAGTTTATTGTAGAGGGAAATGAAACACTGTTATAATAAACATAAGAAAATCGGTTTAACTGATAGGATACCTAAGACTCAGATCATACTGAAATCAAATATGGCTAAGAAAAAACCAATCCGGATAAACTAGATGGGTTTCGGGTTCGGATAAGGACAGGCTAACCAAATTCTTATTAAGTGATAGACTCTGGAATACACACACATACTCGCCAAGGTTCGATATTTTCTTCTTGACTTGACAAAGACTTTCAAATCCGTAGAATGAGACGTTTTTTGACAATGTTTGATTGTGAAGAGTGTGCAGAAGAGATACACTACGCTGCTCAAACTCTATCAGGCATATGAGAGCTGAAGTAGTGTCACAATCACATGTGACAGAAATCAACTCTTTCTGTCATGTAGGCTCAATTCAACCATAACATTTAATTCCACTGCATGGATACTAGTGGATTTCACTCTTGCTTACTTAGAATATACACAGACAACATAGTCCTTTTAGATGACGATGACGAGAAAATGCAGTCTACTGAACATCGTGAGCAGAAATGAGTGTTTCGGTGTACCTTTATTCCCACGCACATGAAGCGAATTGTTGATTAAATTGCTAGGCACTGACAAAAAGTTCTATTTTTATTATTGTTTTATTTCATTCAGAAAACCGCCTTATTTGAGTCACCTATATTTTCGATATGAATTTTTTATGCCAATACAACACATTTTCATGTAGGAGACGATAGCTACTCGTGAGTAGTATAATATTTTAAAGACAAATTACCAGCACACGACAACCTCAAGTTAAGCATTTGGTATCATTTCACCATATCTCAACAACACGATTCAAACGACAAGTATGCAATATTTAATATGAAATTTAAGGCAAACCACACTAGTAGACAGTGTGATCAAAGAGTACATATATATCCTCACGTTGAATCGTAACTTCGAAAGAATAGGAGTAGACGCATGCATAACATCAATGCGTTAATAACAGAAGAGACTAAAGCTACTGTTGGTATTCCGCATATAACGTCAACTGTACAAAACGTTTGTAATTTACACCGCATTTACTGATATCTGAAACGTCTCTCGTAGAAAGCTAGACAACAAATGTTCAGGGTAGCTGTTGAATCATTCCCAACGCACGTTCTCTCAGTTGACTAGATACGTGAGGTTACATTTGAGAAAGCAAGTTACACAGAATTTGCATTCCCAGAAATATTTTCAAGTCGGAGAGAAGATGGCTCAATAAAGCGATCAATTCATAGAAAGGCCACTTGAAAAGGGGAGTATTTAAATTTTTTAGTTTCTGTTCATTAAAATATAAGACAAGGCTTAATCAAGGATTTATGCAAGAGGATTAAGCGTATTTGTACAGCTGATGCTATAGATAATGAGGACACAATATTAACGAATATGTTTGTCGAAAAAAATTATACATTTGGTTTTTTGGACTGGTGTGTACAGGTAAGTTGGTTTCAAAGACTGCAGTCTATTCTGTCCCTAAGAAAGATGTATTTATCAAATTTCCCCGTACAATAGAGAAAATAAATAATAGAATTCTAAGACAGAGAATAAATTCGATGATCCGTAAAACTGACTATGCAGCCCGGGATTACAATGATCGAAAAGGCCCAAAACAGGCTCTATCACAAGTCTGTCCATTGTACAAGTGATTATTTCACATCCCATACTATGTACAAATTTACATGTATGCATGGTTGAAGATACATAGGGAGTAGTAGTCACGGCTTGTGTATCGGTAGCGCAGAGGTACAATGCTCGCCAGCCACTCACATAGTCCGAGGTTCGATCCCCGGCTGACGCAATCCCAAATTTCGCTTAGCTGGCTGGTAATAAGCCTGGCAAAGAGGGAAGGTTGGGCGTGAGACTAGCAACCCTACCTCATAAAAATAAAACGACAACTACCGAACCTTTAAAGCTGTAGCTTGAAGCCCTGTTCTTCACTGGGAACGAGAGAACATATACACAAATGGCTTGAGAAACAATTAAACTACGAAAACTCGATAAAACCCGGCGGCAGACTACTATCTTCGTCTATAGGAAAACACTTAGTTTATATGAATCACAACAGTGATATCAAGGTAACCTTAAAGATTATCTTATAAAGGCTGTCACGGTAGCATACGAAAATAGATTGAGGCGACAGCTATCGGTAAAATGAAACCCCATGTGTGGCTGCAGAAACGATTTATTTTAAGTTGAAGCATACAGCTTAAAATATGACGAGAGGCTATAGTCAATACTTGCCAACAGGTTAGTTAATCTCAGATGATTAGGACGGACGTGAATAGCGTTCATTCCACTAAGACTTAGCACACTATTTCAAAATAACATATAATAAACAGTTAATACATAGAAACAGAGAGAAAGCACCATGTATTAAAGTATTACAGAATAAAACAAAATCACTTACAATTTTGTTTATAACCAGTACAGCCATCATCGGAATCAGAGACAGAGTTTTGGTCTTTAGGAGGAAACAATGTCTGACCCCTTCTGTACCACCACTAACACCACAAGTCATCATCTTGTTATCTTCTCTTCTCTGTATATTTTCGTCTTGAATTAAAGTATTATTACTGCTAGTACTCCCAGCGCCGACACCACCGTTAATCCTAGAAGAGACAGATGTTTTAGGCGTATCGAGAAGTTTCAATTCTTCTGAATTCAATGCTGTTCTAGGCTTTAAAACTGGACCATTCCAGGCTGATGGATCAAAGGGAACAAGTACCATTTGACTAAAGTCTATTTTTGGCTGACGATATACAACACGATATTTACACTTATTACTACTACTAATATTATGTGATGAATATTTACAATGCATACGACATGTATGTGAGGCTAACTTTGTTCTTGATCCTTCTTTGTGCGTATTAGTAGGTGCAGTTGCAGTTGTAGTAGTAGCAGGCGTAGGCGTCGGTGTAATCATTTTACTAGATACTGATGACATATTTGAATCACTTAATGAATCTAATTTATAATAATAACGTTCTGTTTCTGGATCTGAAAGTGTAGCATCATAATTTAAATCTGAATCATCTGTTGGCATATAATGACAATACGTAGAATCATTACAATATTCATATATGGATTGTTGATGAGACAGATTTTGATAACTGTATAACATTTCTGTAGAGGATGATGAATAATTGGATATGCGTTTTTTGTAACTATTATTATTATTATTCTGATCTTTATAAATCAAGGGAAAGAGAATCAAAACAAGAAAGAGAACGATAATAAGAAACAGTAAAAATTAAAAAAGCAACAAACAGTGATGCGTAGACCTAAGCACGAAACAAATGCATCTCATTGTAGAATGATTATTATTATTGTCTTTTTTCGTTCCTAGAGGAACATAAGGCTTCAGTCACACGTCTCCATTGCGTTCGATTCTCCGCTAACGTTTTCACCTCGCTCCACATCTGCCCACATGCTTTCATCTCCTGTTCGCATCACGTCCATGTCACCCTCGAACTGACTACCAACTCGCCGCTTCCCGTTAGGGTTCCACTCAAGCGATGGCCTGGCGTGTGATGGCTTGTTTTCTCAGAGTATGGCCAATCCACCTCGATTTCTTCCTGCATATTTGTTGTACAATCGGTTCCTACTAGGTTGGTTCGCTCATTGCCAGAGATCCCTGTTGCTGATCATTTCTGGCCATCTGATCTTGAGTGTTGAGTGAAGATAGTTGTTGATGAAGATCTATAGTTTGTTCGAAGTGTCCTCCGTGATGCAGCACCAAGTCTCTGATCGGTATAGTAGCACTTACTTCACACATTGGATCTTATTTTTCATGCTGAGTTCTGTTGACCTCCACACAGACCTGAGAGTAGTGAGAGCTTGCCTTTCTTTCCCGATCCTTGCTTTGATATCCCCATCAGTTCCATTCACCTGTAGTTGAAACGATGCTTCCCAGGTAGCTAGGTAGGTAGTTAGGTGAAGGAGGTTGCTTCTTTCAGATTTCTTCCATTTATGCTGATTGTTGTCTGTCGTTGCGGAATGATACTAGATGAAAAAATCAGTAACAACAACAATTATCAAGATTCTCCTACATTACTATTACACTATTGATTCCTAGTGTTCCGAGGGAAGCATAGGACTACAGAAGCACATCGTCACTTCGACCTGTCCTCTGCTACCTATTTTAACTACGTCAACGATTGCCTATAAGCTAATAATTTCTCATTACGTAATCTCCTCCATGCCACTATCGCACACACACACACACACACAACTCGTCATTTTTCACCCGGGTTCCATTCGGAGACCTGCTCAGCTTGTAATGTCAGTCGACAGTCTCCTCAGCGTATATCCAATCTATCTCCTTATTTGATGGTATTAGATGGTTGGAGGCGATCGGCCACAAGAAGCCTTCGACCTAGGTTTCGCACTAGTTGGCATTAAATATAAATAGATAATGGAGAATAATACTAACCGTAGTGAAGTGAGACTGATTTTTTCAACGTAAAACTTTGCACAAAAGTACAGCAAATCATAAAGAACGAGTACTCTGAGAACAACTTAGAGACATACCACTACTAATTCCAAGCTATTTGGTCTAAGCATTTCGAGGACCCAACCCACTACTGATGGCACAAACGTCTCCCACCGACTATCTTTTATGAACATACATATAATTCCTTCGGGTTTCGAGTGAAGCATAGGCCTTCAACAGTACATGCCCATTTCTTCAGTCGTCTTCAGCTGGCTCCATGCGGGTGAATAAACTCTCTTCTTCTCCTCCCACGATTTCTTCCATGTAAACCTCGAACAACCAACTCGTCATAACCTACTAGGGTTGCACTTAAGGGTTTGGACAGAAGTGTCATTTATTGGTCTCCACAGCGTGTATCCGATATATTTCCATTTTGTTTCTTTGATTTTCATCAAAGAATGTTAGTTCCTTTTGTACCACCGACACGTAGGACTGCTTAGTCGAAGAAAAAAGTGGCTTTCATCGCCAACAATGTGAAAAAAATGATTTCATCTCCTATGATCAGTATAAGATCACCAAGTTAACATAAAACTGGTGTAACAGTCACAACACCTTAGAACTTATGAATATATATATATATATATAACAAGAAGTTTTCGTAACGATCGTGAACAGTGGTGGGCGACAAAAACAAGAGATGGAAAAGGCATCGGCGACTGGTAACACTAGACAACGACTTAGGCTTATTAGGGAAACAGTTGGTAGAAGTCAAATGATTAGTGAAACAATCTCAGAGAAAAACGGCACCATAATTAGCGCCCATGATAGACGACCGGGACGCTGGAAAGAACACTTTGAGGAGCAATTTAATTGGCCCACAGTCACGCTCAACCTGCCGAACATCCAACACCTCCCTGAGTGGGATATAGACACAGATCCCCCATCCCTAACTGAGGTTACTAAGGCTGTCGCTAGTCTGAAACGAGGGGAAGCAGGAAGACCTGGTGGAATGACTCCAGAGGTATTTAAGTACGGTGGAGACAGTTTACTTTGTAAATTAACTGAGGTACTAGGTAGCATCTGGGAATCAGAGGAAGACACGTCGGGTTGGTGTAAGTCACTGATTATCCCCATATACAAAAAGGGAGACGTCTTCGTGTGACAATCACAGGGGGATTAGCTTGACCGATATGGTATCTAAAGTCCTAGGATCAATAATAATGAGTAGATCAATTGGTGCTCGGGAGAAACAAACACAAGAGAACCAGGTAGGCTTTAGACCACGAAGAGCGTGTGTTGACCATATATTCACCCTTCGACATATTCTGGAACATAGCATTATTACCGGCGTCCAAAAATCGTCAGGTCTCTTGACCTAAACGCGGTATTCCATTCCTTCAAACGACAGGTACCATGGCGATGCTTGGCTGTAGAAGGAATGACGAGAAAATACATTGCACTGATCAAGGCACTCTACTCGAACTCATGTAGCCAGGTGAGAGCTTACGGCGAGTTGTCACCTGAACTGGTGACAACCAGTGGTGTCCAACAAGGATGCCCTCTACCCCAACCTCTATTCAATTTCATCATGGACGTACTAGTGGAATTAACCCTAACTCACTCCAGAGACTCAGGGATTGACCTGTCACCAGGGAATAATCTCGTTGACTTGGAATATGCAGATGATATAGTCCTTCTATGTGAAGACGCTGGCAAAGTGCAGAGTCTTCTGAACATCTTGAGCTGCAATCTACGAATGTTTGGCATGCGATTCTCTCCCGCCGAATGTAAGATGATGTTAGAGGACTGGACTAAACTGAATCCTAGATTAGAAATAGGGAGTGGAGTTGTAGAGAGTGTTGACCACTTTACTTGATTGACCTCTGACGAAATATCAGCACGGATAGAGAGGGCTAGATTCGCATATGACAGTTTACGCCATCTCTGGCGTAGACGTGATATCCGCCTGGCTGTCGACCAAAGTGGGGTTGTACTCCTCAACAGTCCTCCTTTATGGCTGTGAGAGCTGGCCACTGAGAGTTCAAGACATAAAAAGCCTGGCTAGCTGTCTTTGATCATAGGTGCCTGCGCTCTATCTCTCGTGTTAAATAGTATAGTAGAGCGAGCAATATTGAGGTTAGACTTCGGTCGAGTGCTAGTTAGGTGGGAGGGAAATCAACTGACGAGGTTGTGAAGTTACATCGATTGACATGGTTAGGATAGGTATTACGTATGCCTAGTCATCGCCTTCCCCGACGAGAAATGTTAACTAGCATAGGGTCAGGTTGGAAAAGAGTTAGCTAGTGGTGGTCAAACCAAAACATGTCTTTATCAGTCAGTGAAATCCACAACAGTTAGTTCAAGCCACATAGGAAGATGTAGACTTCCTGACTGGTTGGGGTCCTCGGAACGGTAAAAACCAATGGTTGGAAACAATTGGTGATATGGCTCAAAATCGTTCTCAATGACTGGCGGAGATGCATCCACTCCTTGTGACTTATAATTTCCAATGAAACTATAGTGTTCTTTGTTATTACTATTCCTTTGTCTCACACCTCTGTTTACTGTCTCAATTATAAATTTCTTCTACTTTCTTCTCTGGCTTTGTGTGCTACGTGGAGTGTGGCGACTTTAACTGCTGCACATCGGTGCAAAGTTCTATGTCGGAGACATTCAGAGACAGACAGACAGATGAAAGGAACGTAACTACATCGAAAAGTTGGAATAAAGTAGAAAAGGCAATATAAAGTTATCAAAAATAGTAGATGAACTCGTTAACTGAGAGTCTAGAGTAAGGTTGAAAATTAATCTCAGATGTGGATTCATTATATTGATTTTACTCTAAAAAGAAATGGAATCTAATTTTAATCCTAATATTTTGTTTTCATTATTCAGAAAACAAAATCGTTCTCAACAGCTAGCGCAGATGCATCCACTCCTTGTGAATTATAATTTTTGAAATAAAACTATACTGTTCTTCTTCATTATTATTATTATTTTTGTCTCATATCCCTGTCTGCTGTCTCTATTTTGCTTTTTTTTCACTTTCTTCTCCTGCATTGTGTGCTACATGGAGTGTGGCGACTTGAACTGCTGCACATCGGTGCAAAGTTCTATGTCGAAACAGACAGACACATATTGAGTTATCTGCCTGTAACAACAATGAAACAGTTATTCAACGTTGATTTCATTCGTATATTTAGATTAAAGACAATTCAGTTTGCATTAAAATGTCACTTCTTCTGGATAGTTTTTATGTGTAGAGGTAAGTGTGTCGTCATTCGACATCATGATTAAACTACATTGTATCGTCTAAAGTTATTTAAATAATATTTATGTAAATAATTAACTCTACTTCCATCTAAATCGCCATATAATATTGTTTTCAACTTTGTTGAAATTTCAATGGAAGTAAATTCTTCATTTATATATATAACTGATAACAGTGTGTTATATTTTGTAACATTCCTAATTCAATCGATCAAGAATTCTTAATTCAAACTGGAATTCATTTACTGTAACCGATAGAATTTGAATTGTAAGATGACATAGAACTCCGCCAGTAAAGTGGTATCAGTTTAATTTAGATACTCCAAAAAAGATAGCAAAAAAGTGTAACAAAGCAACAAGAAAAGAACTTATGAGGCAGAAAGAATATATTTAAAATCCAGAATAAGATATAGAATGAACAGATTTGTGTTAGTTAAATAAAATGACCTAATATGAAATTATGATAGCCTGAAGTATTGATGTTCTGATAGCTATTTCAGGAATTTCACCCCTAAAACAAGTACTCAATGATCTATTAAACGGTAAATGACATCGACTAAAGGAATAACTTCAGCTGAAAACTTAAACAAAGCCAACATTGAAGAATCCTCAAAATATATCATCTCCCCGGTAACAAAAACATCCAGGTATCGCATGCTCCAAACAGCAGAGGCTAACACAATCCCCTTGAAAAATAACCTAGTGTTTTGTGTGCAAAAGAAGCAAGTCCAGCCACTACTACTGTTTTGGCCTTCAGTAGAGACTATAAATTCATGGATTTGTGTTATTATCTTTCCTAATTTTTCTAACATTCACCTTTTTAATGTTGATGCTACTGAACTGTAATCTGTTGGTATTATTGATTCGATGTTACTTAAACATTAATGTTGTTCATAACGCTAATTCATTCATTCACTATAATGTACATATAACTGTAGAGATCGATGATGAAGTTATCCAAAAGAATATTCTTTATTCAGTAACCATTCTTTTGAAAATTTTAATAGGCATTTTTAATCATTAAGGAGTAAGCCGAAAAAAAAATAGCTGAGAAGTACTTTAGAAATCCCCAAAAATAGGAATGATAATAATAATAATTACCCGCAAAAGAAACTATGTGTAAACATTCCATTATCGGCAAAATTTGTTTTGATAAAGTTTCACTGTGTTATATAGTAATCTTTACTTATGACGTTTCGAGCACAATTTATTGCTGCTCATAATCATATCAAGGTGATATGATAGAATTATACTCTACCACAGTGCACAAGTTTTAATCTTATATCAGTGTGTAGACATTGTTTAAAAGGGTTCAAACAAACTGCAGCACTCCAGTGTGGAAGAGAATGAAGGAAAAATACCTACTAACAACCGTCATAAAAAAGAATGTGGATATCCGCACAATTTTATCAAAAAGTGTTTAAACTCAAGTCGCAACACCAACAATAAAGCATTATCAAAGACTACAAGAAAATTCATCCTGCTATATATAAAAAAATATCTCTGAAATAACGGCTAGAATATTCAGACCATTTGAAATAGATACAGCACACAAGCCAGACAACACAATCACTTCATTCGATATTGTGAAAACCCAAAGACCAACCCAATAGAAAAAGAAGATGAAATTATTACCATTTACAGAACAAACTGTGTGAACTGCAATAGACAATTCATCGGCCAAAACGGGCGTCCCTTTCGAATCAGAATCCAAGAACACAAATTGTGTGTAAGAAGAAGCATCAAAGATAGGACTTCAGGTGAACATAGATAAAACAGAGGTGATGAAGATTCCTGACCAACAGCAACAGCAACAACAACAGAGAACAATCAGCATAAATGGGAAAAATCTGAAAAAAGCAACCTCCATCACCTACCCAGCTGGGAAGCATCGTTTCGACTACAGGCGGACGGAATTAATGAGAATATCAAAGTGAGGACCGGGAAAGCAAGACAAGCTCTCATTACTCTGAAGTCTGTGTGGAGATCAGCAGCACTCAGCATGAAAAAGAAGATCCGGATTTTCAACTCCCATGTGAAGTCAGTGCTACTCTATACGGATCAGAGACTTGGCGCCATGTCACGAAGGGCACTTCGAACAAACTACAAGCCTTCATCAACACCTGTCTTCGCTCAATACTAGACAAGATCAGATGGCCAGAAAAGATCACAACAGAAAGAGATCTCTGGCAATGAGCGAACCAACCTAGTAGGAACCGATTGTACAACAAATATGCAGGAATAAATGAAGTTGGATTGACCATACTCTGAGAAAACAAGCCATCAAGTGACATTACACGCTAGTCTATTGCTCGAGTTGAACCCGACCGAATGGGAAACGGCGAGTTGATTGTCAGTGAGAAGGTAACATGGATGAGATGATACGAAGAGGAGATGAAAGCATGTGGGCAGACGTGGAGCCAGGTGAAAACGTTGGTGAGAAACTTAACTCAGTGTTCCCCTACGAACTAAAGGAAACAGTAATAATAATTCTTTACAAATGAATAAATTCTTTGCTTATGAAAAAAGAAACATCATTCAATCACCAATTACGTAATCATAATTATCATAAATAATTATAGCAAATATCAATATTAAACTTACCTAACCGATCATCATTATTATTGTAACAACACTTGGAATTTAAACAATTATTCAAATTATTATTTTTATTCTTATGTCCATCTGTACACTGGGTATTATCTGATTTACACATGAAATCCAAATGATCATTAGTTGAACTGATGCGCGTATAGGTAAAATGGAATGATGTAATGTAGATATATAGATGTATGTGTGTGTGTATATATATTTATGAAATAGTGATAATATACACATACATATTATAGAGATGTATTCACATAGATTCGATTGATAATTAGAAAGACAATCAGAAATGAAAACAAAAAGAAAATATATATGGAAAGATTAATGAGAATAATATTTTAATGATAATTTAAAATTAGAAGAAGAGATTTAAAAAAACTATCTCAAAAACAAACAAAACAATCCATGTTTTTAGGTAGTTTATGTTATCGCTTGAAAATTATCCCTGAAACTTCAATTAGAAAAGTAGGCAGTTATCACTGTTCTTCAGATTACTGTTTACCAACATTAAGACAAGTTAGGTACAGAATCACTACAATGGATGCTATAAACACTTTTCAATGTATTTTAATCTAGGTATTTGATGGAACCGCTGTATTATTATTAGTGTTCCCTTGGGTTCCGAGTGAAAAATAGGACTTCACCTACACATCTCCACTTTGTTGTGTTTTCTCCCATCCTCTTCGGCTGGGTCCACGACTGCTCATAATCTCTCATCTCCTTCTCGACACACGATCTCCTCCATGTCACCCTCGCACCGACGACCCACTCGTCGCTTCCCATACGGATTCCACTCGAGTAATGGCCTGCACTGCGCGCGATGTCACTCGGCGGTTTCCTCTATATATGTCCGATCAATCCATCTCCATTTTCTCCAACATATTTGTCGACTAATCAGCGCTTCATTAGTTTATTCCACTTCAGAGTTTCTTGTTGCTAATTCTTTCTGGTCGACTGGCCATTTGATCTTCAGTATGCGTCTGTGGCATAGCGGTTAGGACGCTCGCCAACCATGCGCACAGGGTCCGGGATTCGACCCCCGGTCGACAAACCCCTTTAACTCGCTAAGCCAGAAATAATCCTGGTAAAGAGGAAAGGTTGGGATAGGTGAGGCTAGCAACCTCATCCTGTAAAAATAAACACACCACTGCTACAGAAACTTCAAGCCACTAGCTTGGAGCCCTATGTTCCACAGGGGAACGTGAAGGAAAAAAATGCAGCCAGCTAGCGAAGATGGCAGCTGTTGACAAAAGTGTGCAACTTGTTGGAAATCTTTTTCGTGACACACAGTGAAAGTTTCTGACCCGTAGAGAAGAAGTGACTGGCTTCACATTTGTGTTGGAAATCCGAATCTTGTTCTTAATACTGAGTTATTATAGATTTCCAAACTGAGTTTCAGGTTGATGAAGGTGCATCTTGTCTTTCAGCTTCTGGCTTTGACATCTTCATCCCCTCCGCCTGTGATTGAAGCCGTACTTACTATATAGCTGAAGGGAGTTACCTCTTTGAAATTTCTTCTGGCGATGGTGACATTGGTGCTGGCTGTTGTTCTGGTTGGTTACCTTCTTTACCTCCGTCTTCTCTGTGTTCACCTGCAGTCCTGTCTTCGCTGCTTCTTCAGACAGTTTGTTGCTTTTCGCCTGTAAGTCTTCGAGTTTATGTTACATGATACATATATCATCTGTAAAATCAAGATCTTCGAGAGTCTCATCATGGATGGTCCAGCGTATTCCTGATGCCTCGCTCCCAACACACTGTCTGACGCATAATTCAGTCCACCAAAATTACAAATATCATCGGTGATTACAGACAGACAGCTTGTATCACTCTTATATTAACTTTGAACACCTCGCTGAGTTTTCCTTTGTGGATCACTTGGCACGTGGGATTGTCATATAGCGAACTGTTGAATGAGACTAAGAAAGATTTGAGGCACGCAGTAGTGTTGAAGCAATTTCCAAATTAATTCTTGGTCAACGCTGTCTGGTGACGACCTTTGTGAAGTTGATGTACAGGTTTGATTGCTATTCCATACTTTGTTCTGCAGTGATGATGGGTGGAGTTTTAATTTGATCAGCACACGAGTTTCCTTTTCTGAATTCAGCTTGTCCTGGGCCGCTGGAGTTCTGCGTTCAGTGCATCCTTTATTCTCTCCGGAATGATGCGACTTAGCACTTTACTTGGCATGGACAAGAGTATCATTCCAAGCCGGTTCTTGCAGAGGCAGTTTGACAATGTAGACGTCCTTCCACTTGGTAGGCCACTGTCCTTCCTTCCAAACCTTTTGAAATAATGGCATCAGCATATCCGCCGCAGTCTCTGGGTCCAATTTCATTGATTCAGAGGGAATTCTGTCTGGTCCTGCTGCCTTCCCGGCTGGGTTTCAGTAGCTTGATTGCATTCAAGATTCCCGCTTTTGTTGGAGGATTGATGTCCACGGGCGGAAGTTATGTGCGTGCTATTGGTGGTGTATTTCTTAGCGAGTTGCAGGTGATGATCGATTCATGAGTCCTATGAAATGATAATTCCATAGTTTTATTTGTACGCTGTGTGATAAATACATAACTTTTAGTTTGAATCATATTATCAGCTAGTTAGTAAGTGTTAAACCCTTTACAATGAAACATTCTCTATAAATAGACTAAAAGTGGAGCAAACAAGTCACACAGTATCACCTAATATTTCAATATGTGAGAATATCACGCTTCTTTCGAAATCAATAAAGCCAGAGAAGCTGAGACCACATACATTTTTGTGCTTGTTGCAATAAATCCCAATGATGGACCAGCTATTTCTGAGAAAATTCATGAGAATTGCATGAGATTCACATATATGTGACTCAGTATAACAGTCAACAACCATTACTACTATTCCATTCAAAAGATCAGATAGATTCATGAACAAAGGAGATGTGTACACCAATCAGACACTGTAAGGAAATCTCACGCTTGCATAAGACAAATTGTGATGACTGAAGTTTACAGATAAATAATACAGTGCAGTTTAATGAACAAATTATTTTATGAACGTGCCGTATACTCTTAATTTTCATTTTATTATTCAATTGACAGAATATTCTGAAAGTAGACTTCATGGTTGTTTCAGCACCAATCCCAAAGGTATCCCTTGAAAGGAAAATTATGGTTAACATTGTCTAGGAAATAAACAATCAAATTTCTCCATTTCATTTCTTAACGTTCCGAGTGGAATATAGGACTTCAAGCCTTGAGGTTTTCATAACGGTAATGTTGTTTATTTTACGGGGTAGGGTTGCTAGTCCCACTGCTAACCTTTCTCTCTTCTTCAGGTTTAGAATCGGTTATTAAACAAGGCGACATTTAAGAGTAGGTCGATCTAGGAATCGAACCCGGACTATGTGAGTAATTGCTGAGCATCCTACTAATGAAACATCAACGCATCAATCAATAATACTCAATTAATTATTCCATAAGCCAACAATATTATAAAAGTTGACTGATGCCAATATAGTGGTTAATAGAATTAAGTATCAAGCAGCATTTGAATTGGAGCGTAATAATCAAGGTAGCCATAATAATAATAATAAAAGTGAATTTATGCCAGTGATCATATAATCTAGGCTGTCTATCATTGTGAATAAGTACAGTGTGTGCGTATGTATGTATGTATGTATGCATGTGTGTGTAGGGATAGAGAAGATAATAACTACTATCTCAGAGCATTTAGATTATAAAGTATTTGGTTTTATATGAAATTAAGATTAAAATATATAGCTGTCATACAATATACTACTGCTGTTGATGATGATAATAATAAAGATAACAGTATCAATAAAGATAATAATTACAACCATCAGGTGTCACCTGGACAAAAACGCACTATACAAGCTTTATCTCAGTGTAGAAATCAGGATGAAAATTTTTGCATGTCATTTGTCTCAGAGCTATTTAACTAAACCATCGAAAGCATACACTTAAAGAATCAAGTTAAAATCTAGTATAGAATGGAAAGGCTGTATCTCTAATTCACCTTAAGTTCAATATATCTACAATATACGGGGTGTTGTGTCATATAGAATGTCTGATATACTTCACAAGTCATTTTTATGACCACATTGAATATTGCTCAAGAAAGCCACAGGATCCTTACCGAGTAGTTTTAATTATATAACTGTCTCTACTAATTTTATAATTAATTTTATAAAAGTACATTGAAATGACGGGATTGAATAGCTTATCCTACACCTGTATTGGAATTAGTCTGTCTGGTTTCCACATAGAACTTCGCACCAATGTGCAGTAGTTCGACTCGCCGCACTTCACTCAGCAGATAAAGCCAGAGAAGAAGAAAGTAAAAAAAAGGAAAAGCAGAGACAGTAAACAGAGATATGAGACAAAAAGAATGGTAACACCGAAGAACAATATAGTTTTATTGGGTATTATAAGTCTCAAGGAGTAGATGCATCTGCGCCAGTCATTGAGAACGATTTTGAGCCATATCACCAATTGTTTCCAACCATTGGTTTTTACCGTTCCGAGGACCCCAACCAGTCAGGAAGTCTACATCTTCCTATGTGGCTTGAACTAACTGTTGTGGATTTCGCTGACTGATGAAGCCATGTTTTGGTTTGACCGCGACTAGCTAACTCTTTTCCAACCTGACCGTATGTCAGCTAACATTTCCAGTCGAGGAAGGCGATGGCTACACAGGCATAGATAACACATGTCCTAACCATCTCACTGAATCGATGCAACTTCACAACCTCGTCGATTGATTTCTTCTCCCACCTAACTAGCACACGACCAAAGTCTAACCTCAATAGTGCTCGCTCTACTATACCATTTAAGACGGGAGACAGAACGCAGGCACCTATGATCAAAGACAGATAGCCAGGCTTTTCATGTCTTGCACTCTCAGTGGCCAGGTCTCGCAGCCATAAAGGAGAACTGAGCGGATTTCTGAGCAGTACACACGTCCTTGGAATCGGAATTAAACAGCGGGAGGATCAATTTTACACATAGTCTTGGGGGAAAAGAATGTCCTAGTTGTTAATGTTTTTCTATGTTTTAATACCAGTAATTCGGTAGGTAGATCTTGTGTGAACAACAAGATCATCCCTAGACGATTCTTCTTGAAAAGCAAACTTTTACCAATAGATTATGAAAACCAATCAGTCAGTCAGAAAAGAAATTCAACAAGGAACTCTGGCAATAAACTTATTGCCCAACAGCTATGCAGAAGCAAATGGAAATTGATTGAATAAACTCTGAGTAGTCTTTTGAGTAACACATGAAATTTTCGTGTGGAATGCAAATGAAAAACGATGAATTGGGTGCCCAAGGATTACACGGGGAAGATCGCGTGAGTAGGCGGTAAAAATTTACAAAACTCATATTTAAACTTGTGAAAAAAACATACCAATTTATAGCAGTTCGAACATTGTTCACTGAACAGCTATTGACAGTATTTTTCTTTGTGCAAAGAGAATCACAATGAACATTATTAGTTTTGCTCTTATTAGGAAGAGGACTATTTACACCAGTTATAGCCATGGAACAGGTATTATCATTCAGAGAAGTACAAGTACTTGTAGTAGTTATAGCACTAGTAGTAGGATTACTAATCTTGCATGACTTTTTTGTATTGCATAATGTGGATGAAGTTTTTAAAGCCTATAAATCGATAAAACAAAAGCAATACATACAAATTTCATTTTAAATCTGGCAAACACAATTTGCTTCGTCTGTCTAAAACTATCTTTTAATGTGCATATATATATATATATATATATATATATATATATGTGAATATCAAAGGGGAAAAATAAGGATAATTTACAAATAATGTAATAACCATATGCAAAAAGCGGAAATCAATACCGTAATTACACTTTCTATCTTTAGTCGTTGAACGTATATGTGTCTTGTTAATGCAATTAAACCTATTTAACTTAAAGTAAACGGAAAGTTACACAGACAAATTTTGGAAAATCGAAAAAGTATGGCATGAAAAGGTTATTTGTTCACAATCACAACATGGATTGGATGTTTAAAAGTTAAAAGAGGGAGAAATACGAATAAAAGTACAAAATAAGGTATAGATTTTTCATAATTTAAAGGAAATAACAAGAGACTTCATTTTTGAAAGAAGATGGATTGACAATAATTAAAGAATCGCTAACGGCAAAGAGGAACTGAGCAGTTGGGTTTTCATGAAGTCTACATATGAATGATGTATTTTTCATTTTTTTTGGTTGATGGTGACTAGCAATGGGATCCAGGATACGAGTTTCATCCCATCTGGGACCCAACAGTCGAATGTACCTTCTTACATCCCCAGATGATGAGTCCCAGAAACGACGGAATGAGCATTCTAAATTTCACTGGTAGTCACCATGATGTTGAATAACAACACCATGTAAATCTTCAGAAATCGTCAACAAAGACTGAGCATTTCAGTGCAACATAATCAATCAGTGAGATGTACTGCTTTATTATATACCCGTATGAAAGTATAGATTAGTACATGAGTGGGTTTTACAGAGATAAGAAATTTCGACGTGGTGGTATAAAAAGACAGATGACTAACGTTCATAATTTCTTTCATAGAACACCATAATACACATACGGTTTTGTAGTATAAAAGAATCCCACACAGCATATTCTAATTAGGTAGGTGAGAAAGTATCACAAGTTCTTAGGTGATACTTTGTGATATAACACGCAATGATACTGTGTTGATAACTGGATGAGGTTCCCCACACATATTTTGTTGCTCATTCAAAGATAAAAACTTTCTAAGATTGTATCAGTGTATGTTATATCAAATTAACTTATCTAATAGGTAACTATATTCTACTACGGTCCCCTAATTCTACTTTATCGTTAATTTTCAGGTGATAGTTGCATCTGATAGGCTACACTACTCAAGAAACGTGAACCTAATGACAAAACAGAATGAAAAAGTTCTATGGGTAAAGCATTTCGATCTAATATCAAGCAATCGGTGAAAAATGCGTAAGGGTTGACTCTCATATAACAGTGTGATTGGTGCTTTAGGGTATGAAACAACTGCTGTTGTGGGTTCTTATAGCAGTAGGAACACCATCACCCAATACGGATTCGGCTACGTCCAGTTGATGAGTCTTATATAGGACCAAACGCATATCCTGGATTCAACTTCTAGCCACTATTATTGAAATAACATAGTGTTAAGATAGACACATGATCATCGTGTCCATACTAGGGATACACACATGTCAAAATGTCAGTTGATGGTTAACATAAACCGCCAAGTAATGCAACAGTTATAAGAATAAAACTTGTGAATCGTGGTAGAGTGTAATTCCATTATGGATAGAATTTTATTTGATAAAATCACAGTGTTATACAGTAATATTCACTGATGACCACGTTACGAGCACAATTTACTGCTCATAATCATATCAAGACACTCACACAACTTCCTTGCTTCATTAATATACATGAGTAAAAATTGATGATACATATGAATAAAATCAATATAAGATAAAGTACATTTAGGTATAATATTAGTGTTGTCAATCAAATACAATCAGATGGGAAATAAGACGTTTTTATAGTAAAATAAGTAACTTGTTAGAATGTTATAATGTGAATTGAAATGTACTTTAACATTATTTATTATCCTCTGATTTGACTGGTGGTAATAATATCTTCCCTATTTCTGGTATTTGCGTTGAATCACTTCTGTCGCCTGTTTTGGATGTAGATTCGATGAAGCAGGCGGAGTTCAGTAATCAATCAATCTCTCTCTCTCTCTCTCCACCTACCTATATTACTTTGTAGAATTTTGACTCTGTCCCACTCTATTATGTGGTTGTGTGGTAATGCATGTAGTGCAATCGCTGAACTTTTTCATAAATTACTTATTTTCGTGAGGTCAACCATTCTAACCTTAGCTAAATTTTTATGTTCAGACAAACTCACTACGCCCGATCTACTAGTTTGACCTATGTAGCTGACTTAACTCACAGTCATTACAAGTTATTTTGTAAATTATATTATTTTGCCTAATTGGGTCCATCGGGTCCTTTAGCTTACAGAGCTTGTCCAATCTGAGTGAGTTTGTAGATTTGAATGCCACTGTAATTCCTGCTTTATTAAGAATCTTACGTAGGCTCTCAGATGTCCCCTCCCTATGGTGCAACAGCTCTCATCTAACGAATATATAAATGAACCAAACTCAAAGTCATTAATTTACTTTTTCTAAATTCAGAACATCTACTCTCTGATTAATTAAACAGGGTAAATAGTTTTACACACCACAAAATTAATACACTTCTATCATAAAAAGGAATTACATAATTAAGCGAAAAGCATGAACCAACAACTTACTTATTATTTATCAATCAATTGCGTTTAAGAAACAAAATGTTCTTTAATAATTATTTCTCTGGAACATATACATTCTATCTATATATGTATATATTTGACAGAGTGAAACGGTTAACAAGCCATTGAACACTGGAAATCTCTACAATGGTCTTTAACTTTTTCCTTGTATAATACAACTAAAACTAATACTACTAAATGTACTAACTACTGGTACGGGTACACAGAAAATATCTTATTACTAAAAACAATGTAACAGATGCACAAAGTTGAACAAACTAACATACAGGAAAAACAAACAGAAGATAATAGAGATGGGAGAAAATCACCAGAGGAGAAATTGGTTCTAATCTTTTTCTATGCCCCCTCCCCCAACAAAAAACATATTGAATTTGTTTACAACATGGTACTTAAAGCTTTTGACAAGATATATGATTGAACAGAATTTGACTAGGATGCAATTTCTAGTGACAAGGAATTAAAAAGAAAAAGTACAAGAGAAAAAAATGACTCCAATAATTGTTGGATTCCTTTAAAAGGATAATTCTGCAGTAAAAGGGACTGCACTGCTAAAAGAATCAATATAGTCGGAAAGGTCAATGGACTTGGCTTCAAGGTCAAATCGATGCAGGAATCAGAAAGAGTAACCCAACACTTGATTGGCTACATCTATTAGCCAATGAGAAATAAGAAATAAAATTTAACCGTCAAGATGAATTGGCATCAACCAATACTGAAAAATCTGGAATTAATATAAAATTAGAAAGCGGCTAATACAACTGCCAGTAAACGGGCATGTTGTCATGTGAACTTATTGTAGCAAAGTGAGAGTTTTCTATCGTTGAAATTTCAGCTGTAAAATGTTTCAAGAGAAGTAATTTTTAAAAGAATAAAAATGTGTGATATTTTGTCGAAAGTGTAGGGAACTGTGAATTGATTCAATGGTATGTTTGCCTGGTCTAATGACGACAGTACACCCTTCAGATGTCAGTTGTAAGAGTTTATGTTTCATTTGAACTGTGTTGAAGTGTTGCTATTATAAGAAGAAAGGAATAATAGTAATTGAAGGGTAATGTTTTCTACTAAAATGGTTTATTTTTTGTGTGTAAAAGTTGTCCTTCTTTTATGAAGACTTCATTGATGAGTAAGAATTTTCGCGGTTATTTAAAAGAAAGCCCTGGTCACTTTTTGTCACTAATACAACACTCCAATCAGTCATATTTACATATCTACTCTCTTACTGACAACCTATCTAATTTATGGATGTACAACTTAGAAATTGTAATAAGTTAATAATCACCAGAGAGAATAAACTGTGACAATGATAGTGGTGGTATTTATTTTACTGCGGAGAGATAACCACCACATACCCAAACAATGAATACACAGATAGATAAACACAAATATGAACATTTAACAGATAGGCGGGAAACAAACAAATTACATTGAGTGTACATGCAAAAGGAAAAAGGCATCAACGACAGCACAAGTATAACAAACATTCACATATAAAAAAACAGAGATTACAAGTAGGGAGACATCCATCAACACGTGGATAATACGACATATATGTATTATATAATATATCAGAATACAACAGAAACAAGACAATAAGTAGGTGAAACCAAGCAGCACACCCATGTGCGTGCGTGCGTGTGTGTAACATATAGTAAAACACACAAAGAAACATTGAATACAACAAAACAAGGAGGGGGACAATGAAGTACACCGGAAAAATAGAAAAAAAAGAAGACGATATATGAGAATTAATGACTTTTAATGTATATATAAATGTTTATATAATATAATGAGACATGTAATAAATAATGAAAATCACACAATTCATGAATGCATAATGATGATGTGTTAATAATAATAAAAGTTTTAATTCACTATGACGTTAACAACACAGTGGAAGTACAATATTTATAAAAAAAAATAACATCCAACTAATATAATAATAACAATAATTTATTTTTAAGTTATAAAACTATTCACATAACAACAAATTACAATGGAAATCTCTTTCAATATATCTTTCTATAGTCAATAAAGAAAGCAACAATCCAAATGTATCACGGAGTGTAAACCGCTCTAAGCTAACTAAGCAAGCGTCGGACTAGACTAACAAGTGTTTGATACCCATAATAATAATAATAATATAAGGAGATTTTGACTCGACTCAAAGACATAACCAAATATCAAAGTAAATGTGAAGGCAAGTGTTGATAAATACATAAATAAACAAACGAAAAGACTCTTCAGGTTTAATTCTATAGACTCAACTTACGTACTACAAC